CCTCAGAGAAGTTAAGCAAATTACCCAAGGCCACAACATATGTCCTAGGCATACATATAAAATCCAGACCTACCTCCTGCAGCCCAATGGTTATTCGAATATATCATACTGCTATCATCATTTTTCCAAACTTTAAATCATGTCAATTCCAACCTGGCTTTCATTGTGGAAATTTTTAACCTATACACAGCTTAAACACTAGACCCCTCACACTTTTACACTAACCCTTTTATTTTGAAACCACCAAAATATACTATTTCATTCTCTAAACTTTAAAATCACCCCTTGCAAAAAAGATCCACCTGACAAATTCCTTCTGAGCCCATCACTTTGCCATCCCTATAATGTGATGGAGTACAACTTAAGGCCAGAAAAATTTTTGTTTAAATACTAACTTTACCTAAATTAACTGTGTAATGTTCAATAAGTCACAAAACTTACCAAAAGCACCCAATGATAAAATATTAGACTTTAAATTAAAAGACTGAAACCTGTCAGTCTGCTACTAAACACAGATTATAGAAAAACTTTTCTTGGCCAACAATATTATTTTCTTAACCAAATAAACAAGGCTGGAGATGTAGCTCAGTGGTAAAATGCCCCTGGGTTAAATCCCTAGTTTAAACAATCATGTTTATTTTTTAATAATAATAATAAAAAGATTTTACATGATTAATGTGAGCATTAGTTACACCATTTTACTTAGTTTTCAAATAGTCATTTCCCCGATTAGAAAGTTCAGAATGAGGATTCATAAAATTATATAACTTCAGAACTGCAAAGACCCATACAGATTACCTAACACATTCTTGTATCATGACATAAATGGAAAAACTGAAATCAAATTGCTCAAGTTATTTACTCAAAGTTTTAGTATAAGCTAGGTTTGGTGACACATACCAGTAATCCCAGAGACTCAGGAGGCTGAGGCGCTGGGTTTCTGTTCTCGAGACTAAAAGGCTCAGGGGTTACTCCAGTTAAACTGGGCTAACTGGGCTGCATGAAATAGCTACACAGGAGACACAAATACCTTTTTCTTTGGGGTCGCTGTGACGGCTCCTCTGACCTTAATGGTCCGCAGAAAGAGAGAGAGCGAGAGCACTCGCTGACCCCTTTTATTGAGGGAAGCTATTCAAATGAGGCAAGGGGTCAAGTTTCAGGGGGCTGAGTATCTTCATGATGTCCACTGTCAACAGGTTGACTGACACCTGGGTAGGCCACACCCAAGGGCACAGTAAGAGAAGGGGACACACACAAGGCACTTCCATGGAAGACTCTATCCTAAATAGGGCAAGGGGTTATATTACAAAGGAACAGATGAGCGTAGCATCACCCATGGGGCTGTAACAAGATACACCCATGCACAAGACACTGACCCTCAAACCCAAGAAGGGGGGTGGGGAAGCTCTGGCACATTTCTGCAACTGAGCGCCTCAGCACCCAGCCAGGGAGTGTACTCAGTCATGTGTAAAGTTGGTCTCCCACAGTGAGGCAGAATGATCTCAAGTTTGAAGCACACTTCAGCAACATAGTGAGGCCCTAAACAACTTAGTGAAACCCTGTTTCCAAAAATATACAAATTAAAAGGGCTGGGAATTGGCTCGGTGGTAAAGCCCCCTTAAGTTCAATACCCAGTACCAAAAAAAGTTTCCTAGTATAAGTCAGCACAAAACAATTGAAATTGACAAACATTACCAAAATATTTTTTAAGACCCTATATAAGAATTACAAAGAGAAACAAGTCAACTGTCCCTACCACTCTAATATACAAGTTAGTAAAGGCACAGAAATATAAACACACACATACATGTAGCAACAAGGCACACATGCTAAGAGAAAGGAAAAATTAATTTCTCCAGTTCTAGAAAGATTTGAGAAAACTTTCTGAAGGGGAAATATCTGAACAGGGATTTGAGTAATGAGTAGGCCTGCTGTTATAGGCAAGACGCGAGAGCACAGCATGAAAAACCAAGAAGCAAGTCGATGAACAGAATATTCAGAAAACAGCATAGTTGGGGGGCAGAGTAACAGAAGTAATCTAAGAAAGCAAAGTGTGGCAAATCCCAAGAGCCAGTGCTTCTTATTCGCCTTTTTTAGCTTACCTCTTCATCCACCTAGGACTCATGAGCCTAGGACACAGTTAAATATAATAAAAACTTAATAATAACTTGTAATGACAATATTAATGGCAGCTGAGACTTAGGGTGGGATTATTACATGCACTGTACTAAACAATTCATAAGCACTATCTCCTTTAATCCTCATTTAAAAATATTACAAGGGCTGTGGGTGTAGTTCAGCGGTGGAGAGCTTGCCTAGCATTCCAATGGCCCTAGGTTCAGGCAAGGGAAAAATAAAATGTATGCAATAGGTGATAACATCACTCATATCACATAAGAGATAATTGACACAAAGAATAAGTAACTTTTTTCCTAAATCACACAGTTAATAGGTGGATTCATACCCAATTCATACCCAATTCATCTGTCTCCAGAACCTATGAACTAATAAACGTGAAAAAACATGAACCAATCAGAAAATTTACAATCAAATTATCCATCTCCAATATCAATACTGTACTGCAGAAGAGACAAGCAGAAGAGGACAGGATTCTTCCCAGCTCCCAATTCCATGACATTTCCTCACTTTTAAAGAACATTTTTGTCCTGAGGTTACAGAATGCTCTGCGGAGTACAGTACAAAGCTTCAAAACTTCCCATAAGGGAGTGGCCTTGGGAAAGTGGTCACGTTTGAAAGCTTCAATTTTTTTCTCCAAAAAAATGGGTAAAGCTGTACCTACTATGTATGCAGAAAGTTAGGAGGAAGTGATAATGCATCCAACGCGTCACAACAAGTCCGGTACCCTGCAAGCCAAGACTGTCCACAACAGAGCTCCCGCCCACGTAAGCAAGTGACCAGAGAGGTAAGCAAAAAGGTTAGTCTCTCCCATAGGTAAGGGGGGAGAATGACATGGCGTTCAGAAAGACCCAGGCGGCCGCTAAAAACACACATTTAGAACAGCCGGGGGCTACGGTGGAAAAACGGGGTGACAGGGCAGACTCAGGCCGTCTAGTTCACCTCTGTGGCCGGACAGCCTAAAGCACAGACTGACCCAGAAGCAGACACTGACTAGTCAGGTGGCTGTGAGCCCCAATGAAACGCCAAGGCGATAGACTTACCCCAAGGCCAGCTTCCCCCGGCTCCTCAGGCTCTGTATCCATGATGCACCTGCAACATTAATACAAACTGTCAACTCGCACTCCCCTATTAACCCTTCTCCTGCCCCTGAACCACTAAGCAATTCTTACCAAAGTCTGCAAGGACCGCCGCCGCCATCTTTCCCCTCCCCTGGCGAAAGCCTCCGAGTTCAAAGGCCAGCGAGGCAAGGCGCATGCGCGATACTCAGGATTGCCCCCCCCCTCACCCGGAAGCAGTGTTGCCATGGAGACAGCAAAGACGCGGCCCAGGTTTAAAGTATAGCCAGGCCAGCCTGACTTGAAATTGAATGACTTAATAAAGACCGAAAGCTAACGGGGCACGGTGGCGCAAGCCTATAATCCCAATGACCGAGGCAGGAGGATCGCAAGTTCACAAGCCAGCCTCAACAACTTAGCGAAATCCTTATAACTTAAAGAGATCCTGCCTCAAAATAAAAATGGTTCGGGTTGTAGAACAGTGGTAAAGCGTCCCTGGGCTTTACCTTCAGAGCCAAAAAAAAAAAAAAAAACCGAAAAATGGTGGATTTGTAGAAATTCACCGGTATTCAGAAAAATCATGAAGCCTCATCTCACAAGTGGTCTGAAAGGAGTAAGGGTGCAGAGTCCCCGAAATAGACCTGAGTTTTCTTGTCAGAAATAACTCCCTGTGGCACAAGTTTGTAAAGGTCATTGGAAGTTGTGTAAAGCCTTTTAAAAGAACAGATACCTGAAATACGACGTATGATCTTCTAACCCCTACATCCAAGAGATGTAGAACAGTGGTAAAGATATTTATTGCCAGATATTTATTACCGCCAATGTGCCTGGCCGCCGCTTCACTAAACCTCGTGTATTCATCTCAGCAATCCAACAAGGCAAGGATTAACATCTTCAAATGGGAAACATACTCTGGATAGGTTAAAGTCTCGCCTAAGCACTGGCAAAGCCAGTGATCAATGTAGGGTTCTGGGCCTCCAAAGTTAGTGCCCCTAGACATCCCAATACATTTGACATCTCTATTCTGAGGATAGGTATTTCAGGTTTCTGTTTGCCACCAGGTACCCAGTGCGAACAAGCAATAAACAACACAGTTGTGGAACACAATATGAGCGTTTTGGCATGTTTGAGTTGGAAGGAGTTCCATTCTTTTTCCTCCACAGAATTTAACCGCATACAATTCCCTTCAGAGTTGGCGCACAATCAAGCAAACCAAAAGAGGCACTCCATTCCTCTTTAATCTTTGAATACCAAAATCCCAGGATCAGGATTCCGACCCAGCTGCAAAAACTATTCCTTCCCTTTCTGATTTCTGACCCATATTTTAATTTTTCGTTGACTACATTCTTACAGATGTCTTTAAAATATGTCTGGAACTAGCAAGGTACCCTCGCATGGGCCAGTGATCGCACAGGGCCAAAGAATAAAGCGGCAGTGGGCGGAGGTGGCTCCAACAGTCTAAACCGTTAATTAAATGGTTTGCTGTGGGAAGTGAAAATAGTTAACGTCAGGGCTGAGCTTAGGCAGGACAGAACCCTCCAACCGGATTGGGCGTACTGTTGCCTTCCTGGAGGCTGGGAGGAGCAGCGCAGTGAGCGAGGCGCGGCCCCGCCCTTCCCAGCCCAGAGGTAGCGGGAAAGGAGCGCGTGATGCTGTGTGGACCTCTGCGCGCGCCATAGCGGAGGCCCCCAGGAGGCGGGGCTTGAAGTAGACCCCGCCCCCTTCCCGGCTGCGGCGTGGAGCTGCTAAAGATCCATCCTTGTAGCTGCTTCCTTCTGCCTCTGCTGCCGGTGATTATGGGGGCAGGAACCGCGGACGCTGCCGCCCTCTCCTAACTGGTACTGCACCCGCTGCAGCGATGCAGTGCCCGGGGGCCTCTTCGGTTTCGCGGCCCGGACCTCCGTCTTCCTTGTGCGCGTGGGCCCGGGAGCAGGCACGACCCCGGGGACTCCCGCGTTTCGAGGTAACTCCCCCCACTTCTGGGCCGCAGCCCTCCTGCTCTCCCCCGGAACGCCGGCTGATCGTCTCCAGTCACCCCTTTTCCTATAGTTCCAGATAGTCTGCGACTGCGGCAGAGAGAAGGGGTCTGCCCAAAGTCACTAAGATGAGTCGCGATGAGTCTCCAAGAATGATCCCCACCACGCTGTGGCCGAGCGGTCCCGCCTCCCGACGCTCGCACGTGGGACCGCTAGCTTACTGAAGTTAGCAGTGTCCAGACCCAGGCATTTAAGATGTCTTGGCTTGCCTCCCCGACCCAAGTGCACGCTGGTCCCCTGGGAGCCTTCCAGGAGTTGGGGACTGCTTGCAGCTGCAGCCCCTATACAAGATCCTGCAAAATTATGTGACACTCTTGGTTCCGTGTGATAAATGGGTAGAGTCAGATGCTTTCAGCTCCAAACTAGGTTTTGATTATGCTTTAGAATATGACATGCCAGATATTTATTCCATTTCAAACTACCTGTAGCCAGACTGAAGTTGAATGGCTTTTATATTTCTTATTTTGAGTTGCCCCCCAGCCTGTGAACTAAGCACAGCAAGGGATATCAACATTATTTTACAGTTGAGAATATTGAGGTTCAAAGGGAAAAAATGACTTGTCTGAAGAGCCAGTACAAGCACCTAGGATTCTGGTTATAAGTCTGTGGGTATTTTTATTATACATAGATTAAGTAACTCCAAAGCATTTGCTAACTTATCATCCAACAACAGGATGATTCTGTCTGGAATTTGGGATAGCAGTTTAATTAACCTAAAGTGTAATTTTACCGGAAGTCATAGGAGAGTTGGTGGGACACACTGAAAGAGTCTCTGGCTTCACGTTTTCTCATCACCCTGGTCAGTACAACCTCTGTGCCACCAGCTCCGATGATGGGACTGTGAAAATCTGGGATGTAGAGACAAAAACAGTTGTGACAGAACATGCACTCCATCAGGTACCATGGCTTGCTGATTTCTCATAATGTTTTTTATGTATATTTTGGGAGTTCTTTTGTTTCAAATAGTCTTGGTAACTTCTTATTGCAGGGTAACTTATGAATGTACTCATTAATTAAATAAGAAACCCTATATTGTAAGTTGTCTCAAAACTTTTTTAAAGAGGCTGCGTATTTTGTTTATAAATCAGAAGTTAGCAAACTACTGTGCCACCTGTTTTTGCAAAGAACTATTAGAATACAGCCACATTTAAATCCTTTCTATGGCTGCTTTCATACAGCAAAATTCTGTTGCAAAGGAGACAATAAGACTCGTGAAGTCTAAAATATTCAGTAGTTGGTTGTGCATTTAAAATAGACACCTGGTATAAACTATAAATGAGTGACTGAAACTCATTTCTAAAACAGATGATTACATGATGTACCTGCCTTTTAAGAGAACAAAGGAAAGGAAAAGACCTGCTTAAACTTTGTAAGAACTTTACATTGAAGGAAGGAAAAAAATTAATGATTCTTTAATTCCCTAGTAGTCCAAATTTTTCTACAGTTAATATAGTGTTGCTAAACAGGCAGCATTAATAAGTATTTATGAAGTACCTATATCATGCTTAATATTATGCTTATTTGTGAAACAGGTTAAAAATAAGTAAAAATTGGGCATTGACAAATCAGAAACAAATATTTTGTTGTTGTTGTTTTGAAGCATACAATATCAGCATTGCATTGGTCTCCTCGAGTAAAGGACTTAATAGTATCTGGGGATGAAAAAGGAATCGTTTTCTGTTATTGGTTTAACAGACATGACAGCCAGCACCTCTTTATAGAACCCAGGACAATTTTCTGTCTTGCTTGTTCACCTCATCATGAAGATTTGGTTGCCATTGGGTAAGTGCTCTGCCATCTGTATGGATAGTTTACTTTGTTTTTGCTCATATTTTTCATTTGCATTACCTTCTCCAATGCCTTTACTCCTCGAATACAGATGTTAACTGCTCCCCTGAGCCCTTGGGATCATTTATTCCTTTGATCTCTAAGTCTTTCTATCTCTCTCCCTCCCTCCTTGTTTTCTTCTTTTCTGCTGTACTCTGCTTTCCTTGTTCTTCTTATCTGATTTTTCCAGTCAACCTTCAAATGTTAGAAATGTCCTCTTTCACTTTTTTCTCACTATCTTTTATGATTCCCAGAGGACTGCTGTCTCTGGTTCCAGTCATTCCCATTAGGTTGGGGAAGTGATGTGGCCTTGGGATCTGTGTTCTTCCTGATCACTGAGGTTGTTCCACATGAGCTGCCTGAGTGGGCATCCCCTTCCCTCTCCAGTCCATGTACTTCTCACACAAAGATATTTATTCCCTCCATTTTGAAGATTTCACATAAGTATTTCCACTAGTATGTTAGAGATGAAAGTCTGAGGGAAGTGGATGTGAGAGACTTGTTTTGGGGTAGGATAAATTAATGGAAATAAATTTTTCTCCAAGTGTGAGAAATTTTATTTCTATTAACTTATCCTAACACACTTGTAAAAGTGTGCACGGATATGAAGGCAGAGAGGAGGTATGGGATCAAGAGAGTATTAAATGAAAGATACAAGGACATGTTGCCATAATGGGGCGGGGATGCAGCTTATTGAGGGTAAACTGATAAATACAGAAGATTGTTATGGAAAAGTTGAGATTGGATTTAGATAACAAGTAGAATAAAAAACAGTTGAAAATATGGAAATAAGCTGAGTGTGGTAATACATGCATTCCAGAGACTTGGGAGGATAAGGCAGGAAGATATCAAGTCGGAGCCAGCCTCAGCAACTTAGTGAGGCCCCATCTCAATGTAAAAAGGGCTGGAGAGGTAGTTAGTGATAGAGCGCCCCTTGGTTCAGTCTTCGGTACTGAAAGAGAAAATGAATATGGAAATAATTACAGGTAGGTTTGGAAGTAGAGAATATTCCATTCTGTGGCTTCAGATTTTCTCTGTGAAGCATAAATGAAAGAGGTAGAGTCAAGTTCAGGGTCAAGAAGAAGGCATGAACACTCCAAAAAACAGGAAAATGAACTTAGGGAAATTGGTGGTTCAGTGTTCACTGCTGAGTGGCGAAGCTAAGGAACCATGGTCATGAATTTAAATTAGTCAAATCGATTGAAAAAGGAGATCTTTGTATTCAACAAGGTTTGGGGTTTTGTGGAATAAATAACCCTGAGGGAGAGAAGAAAGGGAGATTGTAGTGTTTTAAAGAGCAACTATAATTATGGATCCTGAAATCTGTTCTGCATGAAGGGAAGGGTAGGAAGATGGGTGAGGGCAAGTGGTTACGAAAATATCGGGGGTCTGTAGATGGGCAGTCTCAGGAAGTGGGAGCATTGTTGTAGTGAGGGTACTAGAGAGTGAGCAGAAAGGGTAGTAGTGTCCAGGGGTCAAAGAAACTTAAATCAAATAAACCTTGAAAAAAGCAGCAATTCTTAGAAGTAAAGTCTGTAAGGAGGAGGGAACTGCATCGTCAGGCACAGAAGATTGGCTCAGAAGCATTTGTTTATAGATGATCTTTAAGACATTATTCCCAGAAAGCTTAACTCAAGATTTCAAAACAGCTGGATCTCGTGACAGGTAGTATAACTTGATGATCTTCAAAGTCCAGGTAGTCAAAAGATTGATATATTCTTTGGGTTTTTTTGCTTGTTTTTTAATCTGCAGTGTTGTTTTTTCCCTGTAGAATTATCTGTTGTATAGGGAGTGTAAGTAGATATGGCCACTTTGGAAAGCAGTTTTGCACTATCTAGTAAAGCAATGGTGCACATATCTTACATTCTGGCAGTCCTATTTCTAGACATCACATGTGAAATTGTTATAGTACATTAGTAGCAGCTTTTATGTTTGTAATGGCAGAAAAAATGGAAACCCTTCAAAAGGACTCTGAGTGAGTAAACTGTGATGTAGTCCATATAATACAGGATTCATACATACAATAGTGTGAATGACTGACCACGAACTAGAATTACATGTATCAACATGGATGATTCAGAAACAGAATGAGTGGAAAAAGCAAGCTCAAAAAAAAAAATTAGTAAATAAACCTGCATGATACCTTTACTAGGAGGTTTTTTAGATATACAGACTACTTCTCTTTTATATTTAAAAATATATACCCAAAAAAGGCTAGCAAAGTTAAGAAATAGTGATTTATCTCTGGGAAGGGGAAAAAGAGGTTTGATCTATGTGGTAAAGCAAAGTATTTCAGATGTTTTGGTAATTATTTTTTTCTTATGCTAGGTGGTAGATATTCTGTTATGTGTCTGAAATAATTCATCATATTTTTAAAGCTCTTAGAATGTCTCTGTTTTTTTCTAGATTCATAAAATGGCAACCATGGAACATACAGATCTAGAATATTGAGTGCTTTGGCTTTTCAGTTTCCAGTTAGAAAAGTAGTGTCATTTATGAAAAGGAAACTTTTCAGAGAACTAGAATAAATTCATCTCTAATTTAGAGGAGTTGCTGGACTTCTATCAGAACTGGAACTCCTGTCAGTTCCCTTAGAATAAAAGTATGCTCCACTGCTGGAACTTTTGAAAGGCAACATGGAGAAGGGTGTTAACAAAACTAGGAAGCATCAAACACTTAGGAAAAACAACAGAAGTATTTCTTGTTATTTCTCCTTCTCCCCTACCCCAAATGCACCTACATAACTTTTAGAAGTTCACAGTGATAAATCCTAAGCAAGAATATTTACTAGAGAGACTGTCTTCATTTTTCACTAATATTTCTAACTCTTGTTAGCTATAAGGATGGCATAGTGGTTATAATTGACATCAGTAAGAAAGGAGAAGTTATTCACAGGCTTCGAGGCCACGATGATGAAATCCACTCCATAGCCTGGTGTCCCCTGCCTGGTGAAGACTGTTTATCCATAAACCAAGAGGAAAATTCAGGTAGAGATGAATGAAAGGAGAGTATTCTTTAGACCTAAAAAACAAAGTAGGTAGACTTGGGTTGTCTGAATTACATTTAAAACTTGAGATTTCACATACCAGACCTATGAAAAGTGATCGCTAAGTTTTGGGAACCCTTGGAAACTAATTTTTCTTTCACAAGTACATGTTTAATGCAAAATAAAAACAAAATTACCCTCTTTCTTTTAGAAGAGCCTGAAATCCCCAATGGGAAACTTATAGCTCAAACTCCAGTAACAAAAGGCTGTTACTTAGCGACTGGAAGCAAAGACCAGACCATTCAAATCTGGAGCTGCTCTCGAGGCCAAGGTAAAATTGATGTTGGATGTTTCTTTTGTAATATAAGCTATGTTGATCCAGTGAAATTAGCTGTTCTTTTGTTCTGTCTTCTTGTTCTGAGAGTGCCTCATCTGTCCGAAATTTGTTTTTTACTTTCCTGTATATAAAAATCGCTGCCCTGGTTTAGCCTGTGCTAAAACTTTGTACTCTGAATTTTTTTGAGTGTTAGAGTTTATGATGCATTCTAAGAGAAGGCAGGGACCCCTGTTTTATAGAAGGGTCACTATTTGCCACTGAGAGAAAGACAAATTTGAGGACATGAATGTTGGTACTTGGCAAGACCTGAGGCAAAGGAAAGAAAAAGATCTCTACTGTATAAATGCAGAATAAATAACATATTCTGGGAATATGGCTTAGTGGTAGAGAGGTTACGTAGCTTGTGTAAGACCCTGAGTTTGATCCCTGGTACCACCCAAATAATTAAATAAATAAGAGTGTGTGTGTGTGTGTGTGTGTGTGTATTTCCAGCATAGTTATGTGTGTGTGTGTGTATTTCCAGCATAGATATGTGTGTGTGTGTATTTCCAGCATAGATATGTGTTTACATACAAACACTCACTTTGTCCAAAGAAGCTAAAAATCCACATGTGGGCATCTGGATGGGAATCCCTCCAGCAGGGTAACCTCTAAACTTACAGCTGTGTAATACAGTGGCCTTCAGTTCTGATTGTGCAGCAGAATCAGCTGGAGAGTTTTGGAAAAATATAGGCTCCTAGACCCCACTTCAAATCTACTGAATCAGAATCTAGATGCTGGACCCTGACACATGTATTTTTTAAAACTATACCTGTGGTTCTAACACCCAGTACAGATTAGGAACCACCAGCTTAGTGCTGACAGAGATGCTCCCCTGTCACAATGTGTTGTCTGCCAAAGGGGTTTATGACCAACAGGAGGAGGATTCCATGCTCTCTGTCCATCCAGCTCTGAATTTGGGTTGCATTACCACTTTGAGTTCTCAGTTCTAATTGGGAGCTCATTTTTCCAGACCAAAAGAAATATTCTTAATGTGTTTGGGTTGCCAAGACAGCCTGAAGATCTTGCTTGACCTAAAGGTAGATGAGCAGGTATTAATCACCATGTATAATGTTTCCATGGGAAAATAGTATATTCATTGTCAGTAACTAACAAACCTTTAAATCGCAGATCATGTATTGTCTTTAAGTTGATGGTTTCAGTGTCTTTCGTGCTCACTGGCCATTTCACCTACAGGAGTGATGATTTTGAAACTACCTTTTCTGAAGAGAAGAGGAGGGGGTGTAGACCCAACCGTCAAAGAGCGCCTATGGTTGACACTCTACTGGCCCAGGGATCAGCCAACGCAGCTGGTGTCCAGTTGTTTTGGGTAAGTCTGCTTTGGTCATACCTTTTCTGATAAATTTTGTTTTCCTGTGTGGCCTCAAGATTCCTAGGCTTCTCATTAGAGACACAGAAGATGGGTCTCACACACACAAGTGGCCCATTATGACCCAAGTATTGACTTGTGTTATGATGGGCCAGTTGAAATGTAAAAATCATGAGACCTGTGCTGTCTGCAAACAAAATTGTTTAAAACACACACACACACACACACACACACACACACACACAATAAGCCTGGAGTTAAAGAGTATCTGACTCTGAAGTCAGACACATCTGAATTTCAGAATCAACCTGCTGCTTACCTGCCTTATGTGTGCAAGAGGCATAGAGGGTGATACTATTTTTTGTCCCATAGCATGGCTGTGACCACTCAGTAACAAAACTGATTGAGCACTTTCCATGGGAAAATACAAACCATTTTTCCTCTGTTTTCACACCACAATTATCAATCCAGAAGACTTCTGAGACTCCAAAAGGCGTGGGGATTTCTCCTGCCGAGCAAGCAAGTGATTAATTCTGCAGCTAGGTATCTTCCACTTCAGTTCTGGCAGAATGTCATGCCCCGCAGTTGAGCCCCTGGAATGCTCCCAGGGGACCAGCATGCACTTTGGGTGGGAGAGGCAAGCCATAGACATTTTAAATGCGTAGTTGCTGAAGATGATAAATTAATTTAGTAGACAAGTTCTTTCCTTTAAATGAGGTGATACAGGTAAAACACATAGAGTCCTTCCAAAATATTAACCACGACCCTACTTTCCACCAATATCCAAAAAAAGAGATTGTTTCTTGAGCTTTGAAGCTATTCAGATTATAATGGTATTTTATAATTAAAGCTGGTAGAGAACTCTGTTCAAAAGTTAGTCTAGAACATTTACATATTTCAAAGAAGAATGAAAGCATGCATAATAAAACACCCCTCCTACTTCTCGTCCATGTTACTTGCTTCTCTTTCTGTAGGCATTCATGATTTTCTGTGTTCTCCAAGAAATATTTTGTGAATATGGCAGAAAATGCAGCTTTTCTGTCCATAAAGGTGTGAATCAAGATCACAAACAAGGTTAAAAGAAAAGTAAAACTACTTTTATTCAGGTGCAAAACAGATTTGCAAATTGGAAATGCATGGGTTTGTACTTTCTAACAAGAAGTGGGTACCTGCCACTTAGCATTGTCTGGGGGATTGAAGCAGGTCTAGCAGTTGGAAACTGTCACAGAGCAGGGTTGTCATAAATGTTACCAGTCCTTTGGAATGTTCAAGTCAAGAGGCAAATAGGCAGTCAAGTATTTTCCCTCTGGCAGATTCGGTTTGTGACATTTCTGCATGGCAGCGAATCTCTTAAGGCTCAGAAAAGGAAGATGGCTCTCTTTTTGACCCTTCTGCAGCCATGTTGATTTTTATTTTATCAAAGGACCAATAATAATTATTTTACAACTGTGGACTCAGACTCTGACTCAATAATCCTTGCTTTAGATTGCTTGTGTTCTTCTTCACAGGGGTGAACTGCTGCTTTGGGATCTCACTCAGTCTTGGAGACGGAAATATACCCTCTTTAGCACTTCATCAGAAGGACAGAATCATTCCAGAATCGTGTTTAATTTATGTCCTTTGCAAACTGAGGACGACAAGCAGCTGCTTCTTTCCACATCAATGGATAGAGATGTAAGAACTGCTTAGATTTCATCAGCTTTGTAAAATAGGGATTTGCAATCTGGGTGGGATTAGAAAGTCTCGGTCTTCATACCGCCTCCCTACTTAAAGTTTTAGAGGTGCTATTGCCAGTTGGCACTCTATATATCAGCAGTGCACAGAGAGGAGAAATGTGAGGAACCACCAAGATGCTTTTCTGCTAAAGTGTTTATGATAAAGATGAGCAGAAGTGTCCTCAGAAGGGCACATAAGATCATCATGCTTTGACTTATCCCCATCTGTAGTTTAAGAAGCAGAATCATCTGCTCGTGGTGAAATCTCTCTGAGGGAGAATTGGCTGTATTTAGAGCCCATGACCTTGCTGTTCTGCTTCTAAGCTGGGCTCATAAACTTCATTTTCTCTCAAGTCTCTCTATTTAGGTAATAACTAAAAACTTTCTACTCCTAGAATGTAAGCCATTTTGCTTTTTAGATTGTAACTCCCATCTTTCCACATGCTGAAGAAGTGTTCCTCCTTATTTAGTTTGCTGAATGAGGAGATTACCAGGAATGGAAAGACCACTGACCTCTGGGAAATGGGAGGTCTGGGTTCTGGTTTATTCTAGACCCTGAATTCACTGGACATCTCTGGGAATAAATATATTCCAAGATCTTGTTGAGCTGTGTGATTATTGCTGATTTTTTTCCCCTAAGAGATGCTTTTTCCAGTTCCTACTGAATGGTTAAATTACATTGTCCTTGCTCACTAGAATATTGGAGTCTTTTTCCTATTTCTGTGCTTTTTTGAAATATTTAGGCCCTAACTTTTAATCTTTCCAGGTAAAATGTTGGGACCTGGCCACACTGGAGTGCTGCTGGACCCTGCCTTCCCTCGGTGGGTTTGCCTACAGCCTAGCTTTCTCTCCTGTGGATGTGGGCTGTTTGGCTATAGGCGTTGGGGATGGCATGATCCGTGTGTGGAACACTCTCTCCATAAAGAACAACTATGATGTGAAAAACTTTTGGCAGGGTGTCAAGTCCAAGGTTACAGCGGTAAGGATACTTTCTTTGAATTTTTTTTTTTTTTAAGAATATCCACTCATTTAAGTGAACTCTGTTATAAATCAAAAGTTGTTTAAAGGTATTTTTGATGAAGTTTGAAACTAGGAAAGCAGAATCCTCCAAACAAACTCACCATCCCTAGATTCAGAGTTTGAAATTATTAAGGCTTTGTTTTACTTGTCATGTTTCTAACAGAAATAAATTGATTAAAAACAACCTAAATATGTATTTATGGGAGATTATTATTATAATATAACTACATATTAGAATGGTATCAAATTACTAAAAATAGTAGTGAGGTTTTTTTAACTATGGAAGGATGTTAATCATTTATAAAAATTATAAAATGGAATGCAGGGTAGAAAACATGTTTTGATTTTTTGTTTTCTCTAAAATGATACCTCTGTGTTGGCTATTTAGTCTAAACCCAATAAATATGGGTGATTTTAAAAGAACACTAAATAACGAAGTGTAGAAACTAGACTTTCTTTTCTACAATACCCTCTACTCCATGCCCCCATTACCATGACCCAGAGAAATAGTCTTGACAATTTGAGATACATCATTCCAAATTTATTAATTATTAATTAAACTGTATTTTCTAAATTGTTTTAGAATCTTTTTCTTCTTTTTATAGTGCCAGGGATAGGTTTCTATGCATGCTAAGCAAGCATTCTATCACTGAGCTGAATTCCCAGCCCCTATTCTAGAATCTTTTACCCTAGTCTACAATATGTCATGTTTTTTCTATCATAAGTATTTAAGTTTATTCACAAAAATGTCTGAAAAGAAAGATAACAAAATTGGCAATTAATTTTTGTTTTGCATGGTGAAATTACAGATGACTTTCACTTTGCTATTAATCCATCTTTTTTTTTTCTTTTAAACAATGAAAATTAAAAGAAATCAACAACAAGAAAGTCTCCCACTTGAATGCTTAGATGCTTAAGATTCCCATAACAGTGTGTCCCCTTTCTCATATATTTTCATTTGGAAACTCTTTTCTTGTAGCTGTGCTGGCACCCAAACAAGGAAGGTTGCTTAGCATTTGGAACTGATGATGGAAAAGTGGGATTGTATGACACCTACTCCAGCAAGTAAGCAATACTTGATTCTTGTTTGGCCAATTCACCAAAATGTCAGTGATGGATTTAATTTGAGTTTATACACGTAATGTACAAAAAATTCTAACTTGAAGAATGAGGTTCAGAACTCAGAATCTTATTTTTTTAATTTTTTTCAGGTGATATGATTCAGCCCATCTGATTTGGGGGAACCACTAACATAAATCATTTGCTTTTATTTTTACAAAAGTTTTCGTGCAGACATGAAAGTTGAAAGACAAGTAGAACATCTGTGCCTTATCTCAATTTTTAGCCATACCATTTATCTGTGTGTCTCTGTATTTATCTCATCTAAAACATGAAACAAAGTTTCAAACATAAAATTGTGATATTCCCCCTTCTCAAGAAACAAGGTCGCAGGTATCATGACACTCCTCTGCAGGATTTTTGGTTTTGATTTTTTTTTTTTTTTTAACCAGGGATTGAACCTAGGGGTGCTTGACAGTGTCTCACTGAGTTTCTTAGGGTCTCATTAAGTTGGTGAGGCTGGCTTTGAACTCTCGATCCTCCTGCCTCAGCCTCCTGAGCCACTAAGGATTACAGGCGTGTGAGGCAAGAAAGACCTCTACCACCAAGCTACAGCCCCAGCCCCTAGATAAATAGATTACTCCATATCTTGTACTTGTCTAGTTATTCCCTTATGGTGATTTCTAACTCATTTATGTATTCCTATCATCCCTATTACATTTGCTATCAACTGCAAGTCATAGCTAAGCAACCTTATCCATTTACAGTAGTCATTAGTCATAGGTGACTAGTCAGCACCAGAAAAGTGCTAAGTCCAAGTTGAGATGTGCTATAAGTGTAAAATATATTGAAGTATTAGTATTAGAAAAGAATACAAAATATCTCAAAAATATTTTAGTTTTAAATTACCTTTTAGCCTGGTACAGCGGCATACACCTGTAATCCCAGCAACTCAGGAGGCCAAGGCAGAAGGATTGCAAGTTCAAGCCAGCCTCAGCAACATAACAAGGCCTTAAGCAACTTAGTGAAACTCTGTCTCAAAGTAAAAAACAGGCTGGGGATGTAGCTCAGTGGTTAAGAGCCCCTGGGTTCAATCCCCAGTCCAAAAAAGAAAGAAAGCAGGAGATACGAGAAAAAGCATACCAAACTTGCCAGATGTATGGGAGTAATATTTTTTTTTTAATATTTACTTTTTAGTTGTAGTTGGGCACAATACCTTCATTTAATTCATTTATATGTGATGCTCAGGATCGAACCCAGGGCCTCGTGTGTGCTAGGCAAGTGCTATGGGAGTAACATTTTTATCTGGGTGAAATATGTTTAGGGCTTAATCATTTTGGTTATGATGGGATATTATTATGTTGTATGTTATTTAAATGTTTGCTTTTTTTATAGTTGAATATTTGGAGAAGAGTAATGCTCAATAGTTTTTCTATAATACAGCAACTAAATTTATAAATAGGGACTTTTGAGAAAAATATGGTGTATTTTTCACTGTGCCTTTTAGTTTAAATCTTTATTTGTTCTCCACCTCTCCTTACCCGCAAAGACCTCCCCAGATTTCTAGCACATATCATAAGAAGACTGTGTACACGTTAGCTTGGGGACCACCCGTACCCCCAATGTCACTTGGTAAGTGTCTGAGCCATTCTTAACAAATATAATTTCTTTTCTTCAATTTAATTCTAGGATATGAAAGTAAGAAAGAGTCATAAATGTTCTAGTGCAGTGACTGCTTGGTTGTCTGCTAGTCCTAGGGGTCCATGAAAGCAATAGTGGCAGGTTACAAATTAGAATTGCAGAAGAAAACATTTACCTATAAGCTTCTCCAGACTGCCCCCACAACTCTTAAGCATTACTGTCTTTAAACTGAACTTTTTCATTTTATGTAGTTTTCTCATGCTGGATCGTGGCCTTTGAGTACTACTTTTCACCCCTTTCCCACTTCTAGCCTCTCAGTCTTGTCTTTCCCATAAGTGATGGGTCTTTCATAATATCTTTTTGAGTGTATTCAACGAAAGTCTTTGATACACTTTCCTTAACTACAATGAAACAACTGTAAATTTCCATAGTAATCGCCTTACTGTGGAGAGGATAAATAGTATCATCAGAACTCAAGCAGCATTGGAATTATATTCTGTTCATCCAACAAGAGGATTACTATAATACTTAGAAAATCACTCCTTTGAAGATACCTCCTTATAGCTAGTCCTGGGAAATCCTGTAGCTTCATGTATTTAAATGCCCAAAGTAAAGTACTTATTTCTAGAAGAAAATGTGAATTCTCTAAAGCTTTGAATGTTAGAAGAATGTTTCAAGTGAATGTGTTCCATCATAGAATTTAACATAGAATTAGTATACCTTTTTACTTCTCCCAATAACTCTTCAGATGGAAAGAACAGTAACTTTATTCTCATGTATTAGAATGCTTCAAATGCATAATTCTTTTTAATTCTTAATTCTCATAGTAGGGCATGGTCAAATCTGTAATAACAAATAGTTAAACTGGTGAAGTTCAAGACTGATAAGCTTTCTTATCTCATGTAGGAGGAGAAGGAGACAGACCTTCCCTCACTTTATACAGCTGTGGAGGGGAAGGAATTGTCCTACAGCATAACCCTTGGAAGTTGAGTGGGGAGGCCTTTGACATCAACAAACTCATCAGGGACACCAATTCATTCAAAGTGAGTTATCGTGATCTGGAGTTTCCTGTTGGATTCCTCTGGTTTTTCCATCTTGCATACTAAATGCCATTCTTAGAGGCGGCTTGTCAAGTCAGACATTACAGATACCGTGAAGCAGGCTATAAGTGAACTTAGGTTCTAATATATATCTTAAGAGTCTTTATCCTTGAATCCCGCCCCCCCCCCCGCCAAAAAAAAAAGTGTCTCAATTGCAATAGTGATTTATGATTTTCAGATCTCTTTTTTTTTGGCGGGGAGGTATTGGTGATTGAATTCAGGGGTACTTGACCACTAATCTACATCCTCAGCCCCATTTTGTATTTTATTTAGCGATAGAATCTCACTGAGTTGCTAAGCACCTCGCTCTTGCTGAGGTTGGCTTTGAACTCATGATCCTCCTGACTCAGCCTTGTGAGCCACTGGGAATACAGGTGTGCTCCACTTGATTTTCAGATCTTGACAATAAACATCCTTTTTATGCCAACCACTTCAACCAAAATGATACTGTGGCAAAAATGGCCCTGTCATATGGTTTCTAAATGCGGCTACAGATTTTTTTTTTTTCTCAAGACTGAATTGGAATTTTGTCTTTAAAGGAAATAATTTCAGAATTACAAAAGCTGCAAAAAAAAAATACAATTTTCTTGTTTCCTTTACCTAGATTCCAATATTTAATCACTTTTGCTTTAACTTCCTATTAATGCATGTGTATGCCAGAAATGTCTTTTAAAGTCTAACGATAAGGGCTGGGGTTGTGGCTCAGCAGTAGAGTGCTCGTCTAGCACGTGTGAGGCCCTGGGTTCAACCTCAGCACCACATAAAAATAAATAAACAAAATAAAGGTGTTGTGTACAACTGAAAAATAAATATTTTTTTTAAAAAAAAGTCTAACCATAAGATTTCCTTACCCTTTCAAATGAGTATTTTTTTTAATATTATTTTTTAGTTTTAGGTGGACACAATATATTTTATTTTTATGTGGTTCTGAGGATTTAACCCAGTACCTCACGCATGCTAGGCAAGCGCTATACCTCTGAGCCACAACCCCACTGCTCAATATTTTTGTATGGCCAGAATAAAAATATCACTTAATCATAATTATATTTAATTATATTCCTTCATTGTCTAAAGTGTTATCTATACATTAACCTTCGATAATGAAAAGAAATTACTGTTCTGACAAGTTTTTAGTTTAGTGGCAATTGGTTATATGCATCAAAAGTTTATACAAGGAGTCTGAACTGAAAATAGAAATTTTGAATCCCTTCACATAAATGATAGATGAAAAACTTCTGGGTGTGTGTGAGATAGGATTAAAAAGAAAAATAAAACTAAGAAAAGAAGAGGACCCAAGATGTCTTAGGGACCTACAAAATGTAAAGGTGGCAAGGGTGGGAATTCTGGAAAACTGAAAGGAAAGAAGAAAACAAGAAAAGCTTTTGTTAAGGACCAAGAAACCTTCTGGGAAGACTAGTGGGCACATTTCATTCTTCCCTGTGGGACAAAAGTTGCTTCAGTTAATTTTATTTCACAAGGTTAAACATTGTAGATGTTTAGTTGTTACTGGTCTCTCTGTCCCATTTTGGAAGTCATAATAAGAATTTTTGTTCTTTGTAATTCTTGAACTAATTAAGAAGACTGTTTAGGAGAATGGCTGTTGTATAATTAGAACATGTTTTAACTCTGGGGACTCCCCCCCACACCATCCTGTCATCACTGATTTATAAGATGTGTGGAGAAAAGAACAGTGTTTAGTCAGGATTGGTTTGTTTTGCTTCTAGTACAAATTGCCTGTACACACAGAGATCAGCTGGAAAGCAGATGGCAAAATCATGGCTCTTGGCAATGAAGATGGGTATGTATTTGTTTTCTTAAAAAAGAAATAACTTTGCAGTAGTACGTATTTTGAATCACAAGCTGGCTGATGCCATCTGTAATGTTAATGAGGGAAGCCACGTTGTAATTCATATTCTGATTTATCATTGATATCTTTAACTGATCCAGGAGCTCTCTGCATCTTTGAGAACAACAGAATTATTTAGATTAATTTTAGTTCAAAGATAGCATTTGCCTATAGTATGTTTAGGCTATTTTATGCCTCACAAATGGTCATCTCCTTCATTAAACTGCCTTCATTACACTCCATTTTTAAGAAATAATACTAACTTGGGTGCGGTGGCACATGCCTGTAATCCCAGCATCTCTTTAATAATAATAAGCAGAAATCCTTTGTAGATCTCACTCCTTCCATTGTTAGTCACAATGACATACATAGTCCAAGTTCATACAACGGTCATTAATTCTTTTAGCTTCCCACCACCGTGTATTATTTATTAATGCCTAACAAATACAACTTTCCAGACAGTGTTAGAATTTTTAAATGCTGAATATGCTTATTTCATAAAGCAACCTTTTATATCTGGTTCTCCATGAGAGAATGGCCTTTACGGTGAGTATTATCTCATTCTATTTCACCTTTCCTAGACTGGTGGATAAGGGAGCTGTTTGTTTGCACTGCACTGTAATTTGATTATCCCTCTTGTCTTGGTGTTTCTTATTCCAGATCAATAGAAATATTTCAGGTTCCCAACTTACGACTGATCTGCACCATCCAACAGCATCACAAGCTTGTGAATACCATTTCCTGGCATCAGGATCATGGCAGCCAGCCTGAGCTGAGCTATCTGATGGCCTCTGGCTCCAACAATGCCGTCATTTATGTGCACAATCTGAGAACTGTCCTAGGTAACTTTGGTTTCTTCCATACTTGGGGGGGTTATATTACTCATTCACCTACTTTCCATTCTGTTCTTTGTATGTTTTTACTTTATTTTTGGCTTTTTTTTTTCCTTTCTTTTTTTTCCTTTCAAAAACACTGTATTCATCTTACTCTAAAAGTCTTACAAACATGACAAAAATGTTAATTTAGAGAATGAAGAATACATACACGTATGTGTACGCATTATATATTATTATATTTATATTGTGAATTTTCTTGTACAAATTCAAAACATGAAAATTTGGTATTAGCAAATATGTATTCATTCCATAATATGAATACACCAGAATTTATCCATTCACAATTGATTGTCATTAAAATTATTTACATTTTTTCAGAAGTAATATTACTTCTGAAATCTTCAGGAGCATGACTAGTTTTCTTACATAAAATTTCTAAAAGTAGATGTGAAGAGATGTGGACATTAAAAACATGATTTTTTTTTTTTTGGGGGGGGGGCTGGGGTTGTGGCTCAGTGGCAGAGCACTGAGTTCTCAGCACCACATATAAATAAATAAAATAAAGGTCAATTGGTAACTAAAAATATATTTAAAAAAAAAAACAGTTTTTTAAATAGTTAATGCTGAAATCTGTCCCAAAAGCTGCCAGTTTATACTCCCTTCAGCAGGGCTGCTGTGTTATATCCACCTTCGACACACAGCCCATTCCCATCTTTGATGACATCTAAAGCTCATAATCTTGTGAGATGGCTGTTGTTCTCCTCACTTCACTCATGTAGAATCTGAGGTCCAGTCCAAAGAGGTTAGCTAACTTCTTCCACAGCTAGTATACAACAGAGTCGAGACCCAAGCTTACAGCCTCATCCCAGAGTCTGCATGTGTTCTAGGAATACTATTCCTGCTTGGTAGTTTAACTTTTTCATGAGTGATTTACCTCTGAAGGAACCTTAAACAGCTTTGAGTCCCTTTCAGCACCTACTGATAACCACAGTTCAGAAGGTCAGAAGGGCTTTTGCTTTTCGTTGTTATTGTTTTATTTTGTTTTGTTTTTGCAGTATTGGCAATTAAACAAAACCCAGGAGCACCCTCACTGACTCACATATCCAGCCATTTTGAGACAGGATCTTGCTAAATTGACCAGTCTGGCCTTGAATTTTGGATCCTCCTGGCTCAGGTTCCCAAGTCACTGGGATTACAGGCATGAGCCACCACACCTAATGGATCTTTCTTTATTTTTTTCTTTTTAGTTGTCTTTATTTATTTATCTTTAATTTATTTAATTTATTTGTCTTTACTTAATTTAATTTTATTTATTTATTTATATGTGGTGCTAAGAATCGAACCCAGTGCCTCACATATGCCAGACAAGTGGTCTGCCACTGAGCCACAACCCCAGCCCCAATGGACCTTTTTTTTTAATATCAGGGAAATGGGATTACATTTTCCCCCAATATATAGAAATTACCTATCACTAAACTGTTCATAGTGTTGCAGAGTGATTTCTTTCAGCAATAGTGAAAACAGTTGATTTTTAATTTCTGTTGAACTAATTTTTGTTTTCTGAAACAAAAAAAAAAAATTTATTCTAACAGTCACTCTCCTGAATTAAAAGCAATGTGGGAAAAGTATTAAAGTTTAGACACATTAGGGTTGTAATAATACATAGTAGATACACTATAACTAATGAGCATTGTGATTATCCACTTTGGCAAAGGACATCAACTTATTTTTCATAGCACCACAGATCTTTGTTTTTTAACTATTTATTTATTTATTCATTCATTCATTTTGGGTACCAGGAATTGAACTCAGGGACACTTACCACTGAGCTACATCCACAGCCCTATTTTGTATTTTATTAGAGACAGGGTCTCACTGAGTTGCTTAGGGCCTCACTCTTGCTGAGGCTGGCTTTGGACTCGTGACCCTCCTGTCTCAGCCTCCTGAGCTATTGTATTTATAGGAGTGCACCACCACACCCAGCTACCATCCTAGTTTTGATATTTTTATCTTTTTTTTAAAAATAATTCAGTTTTTAAAGGAAGTTGCAATAAGAATGCAAAGACTTTCATCTACCTTTTGCCAGATTCATTTAGCATTTTTGCTATGTTTGATGAATACTAAACTTTTTTTTTCTTTTTGTGGTGCTGGGGATTAGAACCCAAGGCCTTGTGCATGTGAGGCAAGCAATCTACCATTTGAGCTATATCCCTAGCTCAAAACAGTTATTTTTTTTACAAGTTCCTACAATTTGGTTTTATCTGGGATTTTCTTATAATTAGCTTGATATTATATGTTTTTATCAAGAATACTGTACCATTAAGGATATGTGCCACAGTCTGGCTGGGCACAAATGCCGCAGTCTGGCTGGGCACACAATCACGAGCCACCACACAGCTTGTAGATTCAAACAGCAACTCTTTATTCCCGAACTCACACCAGCCGTCTACAATCACGTTCTGGGGAAATCCACGTTCTCTGCCCAAATCCACGTTCTCTGCCCAAATCCACCTTCTCTCCCAAATTCACCTCCACTGGGCTTCTATCTCCAAAATATACTGTCTGAATCCCGTGAGAACTCAAGGGGAACTCAGGCAGCAGGATACGCCCTATTCCCAGCAGGAATAATCTTAAACCTTAAACCTGGAACCTAAACTGGGAACGCCCTAAACAAGATTATCTTAAAACCGGGAACACCCTAATCTGCCTTGGTCCTTGAGCAAGGTCACTTACATTCAATGTCACTGCAACATGTCAGCAACATGGGGTACGCTGGCAAGGAAATTGTCATACCTACTTGGCTAATGGCTCCCAACAGATATGTACTTCATAGGATTACATCTAAAAGGCATTATTTTCATTGTGATGGCTTCTGTAAGGAAATAATAATAGCTAACACTTTTTGTGTTAAACCTGTATTTGCCCAGACCCTGTTAATAGGCCCATATACTTAGCCACTAACAGTATTATCTGCTAAAAATCAGATCTGACAGAATCTTGACTCTTGCATTAATAAGAGTTAACACCTTCATCTAGTCTGTTTTGTTATTGCTAGTAACAGTAGTAGTAACATCTTTCTCCTACCTTTTAGAGAGCAATCCTGAGGCTCCAGTGACCATTACAGAGCCCTACCGGACCCTCTCTGGACATACGGCCAAGATCACTAGTCTGGCATGGAGCCCACATCATGATGGAAGGCTGGTGTCTGCTTCCTATGATGGTACAGCCCAGGTACTGTTTTGTCCTGGCCACTTGGGCTCTCACTAATTTAAACTCTGTCCTCTTCCCCCCTCCCCCTCCAGTTATGAACATGTTTTCCATCTCCACTCTCACCCTCCACAGAAAGAGATTATCTGAACTCTAGAAGGCATTTTAGTTTTATCTGGACCCTTAGCAGGCCAAGCCGGGTGACATACCATGAATATGGTAAGATAAATTGATATGAAAAGTTCTCTTTCTTCAAACAGAAAAATGAAAATAAAGATGAGCTGCCAGGCCAGAGCTATGTTGAAGAAGTTTAGGTGTTAAAACCAGAATTGACCATAGCAGCTAGGGAACTAACATCTGTGATTGGTGTCTGTCTCAGTATTGAATTGTAATTCAGTTGTTTGCACAAACTGGGAGCCATGAAGACAGGCCTGCTTTCTTTGAACTGGACACAAAGATAATTAAAGAAATAACAAAGCAGCTAATCATTTGTCCAAGGACTTGGGAACAAAAGAATTACCTATGGGAAATTATAACTCCAATTTCTAATGTAGGTATGGATTATTTTTTTCGTGATGCCAGAAGCCCCAGACCAAATATTAGCAGATAGATCCAGTTTGGAACAGTGTGATCCATGGTGCATCAATAAAAGCCCATTCAGAATCTCCCTCTTAGGAATACCTAAACTCACTGGAGCATATAAGCCTCCCACGTGAAATAGTACTGTGAAATTGAACTCCTAAGAGAGAAATTACAAACCACATGAGGAAATAAAGAGCCCACAGGTTTTTATTTTTGTTTTTTTGTTTTTTAATGTTTTTTAGTTGTTGATAGACCTTTATATACCTAGTTATATGCAGTGCTGAAAATCGAACCCAGTGCCTCACACATGCTAGGCAAGTGCTCTACCACTCAACCACAACTCAACCCCCCCCTACAGATTTTTTTAATTGAATAAATTATGCCCCCCCCAAACAATAGAATAACCAGAAAATTTATTGTCATGTATGTGACTTCTGGTTTCAGGTATGGGATACTCTCCGAGAAGAGCCTCTTTATAATTTCCGAGGACATCGAGGCCGACTGCTTTGTGTGTCATGGTCTCCTTTGGATCCGGATTGCATCTACTCAGGGGCAGATGACTTCTGTGTATACAAATGGCTAACTTCCATGCAAGTTCATTCCCGGCCTCCTCAAGGTCAGTCAGAACATGGAACCCATACAGTGCTTGCCTAATTCCCTCTCTCTCTTGCTCTCTTAATTGAGTTTATAAGAGACAAGCAAGGAAGACATTCATGCAGGGGGTCTGCAGCCCATGCAAAGCAGGCAGGCTTTGGGGGCTGAGAACAACACCCTCAGACAGTAGCAAGTGTGCCTAGGGGTCAGATCTTGGTTGCTAAATATGAACCTAGAACCTTCCTTTATTCCAGAAAGGAAAGATGAACTCAAAGAATTAAGGAGACACATCAGAAGGACACAAAAGCCAGCTTGACCAAATTTGAGAGGATTTGTACTTGAAAATAAGTAAAAGGAAAATTCTACTCTGGCCATAAGCAACTGGAAAAATTAGAATATATTAAGCAACTAGAAATTTCCCCAAAGGAAATGAAATTATGTGTTCACATAAAGACTTGAAGAATGCTCATAGCACCTTTATCTGTGGTTGCCAAAAACTAAAAACAGCTCAAATGCTGATCAGTAGATAAATGAGTAAATCGTGTAGTATCCCTGCAATGGAATTCCACTTGGTCATAAAAGAGAAGGTAACAGGCGAGATGCAGCTTAGTGGTAGAGCATGTGCTTAGCACGAGACCCAGAGTTCAGTCCCCAAATCAAAGAATAGAAAGGTACTGATAAACAACAAAATTAGTGAATCTCAAAAAAATTATGCTGAGCATAAGAAACTGAACACAGAAGACTACATACTATATAATTCTATTTATGAAGTTCTAGACAAGGCAAAACTAGAGTAATAGCAGGTCAGTGATAGCTTGGGGTGGGGATGCATTTCATGGTGGTGGGTTACACAATTATGATCTGTTACAATTTATCAAAGTATTAAAAATGTGGGTATTTTATTGTATTAAATCATTCCACAGTACAGGTGATTTTTAAAATAAGAATAAAAACTTAAAAAATGAGTAACACTAACAAATTATACTCTAATGAAGAAATTCATACTGATGTAAAAAAAAATCCATGGATGCTTAATAATAAACAGGAGATATTTTACTTTTTCGGTGGGTAACCTACAGTATGCCCTATTAATTTAAAGTGATTAAACCAAACAATGGAACAAATAAAAATTATATGCTACCTCATAGGTTGCCCTGAAATGAACACAGCTTCACTTCTGTATATTCCTGCTGAAAATGCATAACTGAATCTTTAAAAAACAGCAGGCAGACCCAAATTGAAGGGAAATTAACAAAATTACTCTCCTGTAATCTTCAAATTTCAAGTCATGAAAGTCAAAGAAAAGCTAAGCAACTCTTCCAGGTTGAAGGCATGGACGGTCCAATGCAGTGGGTGGTCCTGGTTCAGTTGCTTTTGCTATAAAGACATCCTTGGTGCAGTTGGCAAAAGTTGATTAATGAGTGTGGGGAGTAGATAGTGTAGCAGTGTTGATTTTCGGACCTCAGCGGCTGTGGCATGGTGATGTTGGAGAAAGTCTTTCTTGATGATTTAATGAAATCTCAAAAGGCTTGGTTAACATTGTGATAATAAGACTATAAAACTTCATTGGGAAGAAAAGAAAGTAAGGCGAGTAAGGCTGTCAGAGCAAAGAGTAATATAATGATGTACTGGAGATGACCATCCAGGGCACTTTTAACCATGAATGTGTAGTTCAGCCTGTGCTTTTTTGTGATTTTTTTTTCTTTTTTGTGATTTTTGCAGGCAAAAAAAGTATTGAATTAGAGAAAAAACGGCTCTCTCAACCTAAGCCAAAGGCCAAAAAGAAGAAAAAGCCCACCTTCCGTGTGCCTGTAAAGCAAGAGTCATTTGACGGGAACGAAGAAGAGGGCATAAAGGAGAACTCAGGACCTGTTGAAAATGGAGTGTCAGACCAGGAAGGGGAGGAAGAAGCACAGGAGCCAGAGTCACCCTGTGGCCTTGCTTTAGTGGGTGTGTGCAGGTACTGGATGCCACTAACTCTTAAGATTTTGTCATATCTAGGAAACTAAGCTGGATTCTTACTCGGTCTGAAATTTCTATCTCTGACTTGCCTTATTTCCCAACTACTTTCTTTCCTCATTTCCCAACTCCCTAGCAAGCAACCTTGGTTGCTTGGTGCAACCTTGGTGTCTTTGGTGCCTTTGGAAACTATTAGTTTTCTTCAAAGCTTTTAAAGTCTCTAAAATAAACATCTTTGATGAAGGAATAAAGGAAATAGAACCCTGTAGAGAATACCAGGAAAAGGTCTTAACAGTATGACGTTATTGGTCATATCTACTCAAAGAAGCCACTGTCCTTTAAAAATGTCTGACTATACAAGCCACTCCTCTCTGGGAACTTAGGAGTTCCCACCCATCCTCCCTGGAGCTCATTCCTGCCTTTCTGCCTTATCAGAGGGAAACTGAAGAACAGTTGTTAAGTTCTTCCATCCAGTTAAGTTATATGGCAGTTCTCAGATTTCTCACACACAAAAAAAATTCCATTACTAATTTTCAATAATGTATTCTAGTTCATGTTTGAAGAGAAGTAATTGTTAAGGATAAGTAAATTGTTGTGGATAACTAAAGTGTTAACACTTTTATCCTTTTATATACAACCTTAAATATCGGATGCCTGTTACCAACTAAAAAATATGATTAAGTAGAAGACAGTATAAATAGAACTGATGATTTATGTTTAATTCTAAAACACTATTTTTGATGTGGCAGAATCAGTGCAACCAAAATATATAGTATAGAGGCATCCCTGACCTACTGTGTCCCAAAGAATGGCTGCTGGACCCGTAGTTTGGGTTAAAAAAAAAGCTAAAAACATAATTTATATTTTAGGTTCATCAGAATGTCTTCATATCACCTAATGGCTATACAAAATGTTCTTTACTCCTATAGGTCAACAGGATTTTTTGGTTTTGTTTGTTTTGGTATCAGAGATTGAGCCTAGGGGTCCCAACCACTGAGCCACATCCCCAGCTCTTATTTTTTTTTTTTGAAACAGGATCTCATTGAGTTGCTTGGGGCCTTGCTAAATTGCCAATGCTGCCTTTCAACTTAGAATCCTCCTGCCTCAGCCTCTTGTGCCATTGGGATTAGAGGCTTGTGCCACCCTGTCCAGCAAGTTTTGTTGTTATTTTTGGTTTTTTGGTTTTTAAATATTTTTTTTAATAGTTGGACATAATACTTTCATTTTATTTATTTTTATTTGGTGCTGAGGATCGAACCCAGGGCCTTGCACATGCTAGTCATAACCCCAGCCCTGGTTTTTTTGTGTGTTGGTTTTGTTTTTTTGTTTTGTTTGTTTGTTTTTTAAGGAAAAAAATGTGTGTTTAGGATTATGGGTTGTGATTCTGTAACATGTATACTTAATATTCTCTAATAGTTAAGTTATTCCTTGTTTACATAATAAATGTTATTACTATTTAGTGACCTAAATATATGGAAAGCAACTTATCACCTGAGTTTGAGGATAATGTAGTTAAAGAGGCTAGAAGTCTTTTTCTTAGCCAAAAGTTCTGAATAATAAACGTACAGGATTTTGAAACAGCCAGTTGGTGAGGCTGAGGAGAGACCACCCATACATCCTTTCCAAAGCAGGTTTTGGTAATAGATAAAATTATATTACTAGGCCTAATAAAGCTCTTAATTTTATATATATATATATATATATATATATATATATATATATATATATATATATATATATATACTGAATTCTACATTATTCTTATCCCAAACATTTTTCCTGTTTTTCCCTTGTGGTGCAGTTTCTAGAGAACCAGTTATTAGTACTCCAGTTTCCTCAGGCTTTGAAAAGTCAAAAGGCACTATTAATAACAAAGTCATTTTACTGAAAAAGGAGCCACCTAAAGAGAAGCCAGGTCAGTATCTAATAATTGACATACTTTGTTACATGCAACTGAGAACTCAAAAAAGTATTTGAGGTTGATTGGTTTGTTGAGGTTTTAAATATTTGTGGGTGTTCTGATTGTGTTTCCATCGGGTTCATTCTTTTTAAACATTATTTTAGCACTTGATGAAATGTTTTGGAGTTGATAGTTGATACATTGCTTCATAAATGTTACCAAGGGCATTTTATACATGGTGTGCACATTGCACCCACGAATTAAATGTGAAAGTTTGTTTATAGGAGTAAGAACTTGTGTGTCCCGTAGTATCCCTCTAGCTAAGGTTGCAATCCCATAAGAGGTAATCATTCTGTTGTGTTTCTGATCTGCTCTTGAGACGGTCTGTACTTTGATTACATTTCAGAAGCCTTAATCAAAAAGAGAAAAGCTCGTTCCATGCTTCCTCTGAGCACAAGCCTGGACCATAGGTCCAAAGAAGAGCTTCATCATGACTGTTTGGTGCTAGCAACTGCAAAACACTGCAGAGGTACAGAAATACATTTCCTCGACCCATGTGTAGTCTTCTGGGAACTGGCATGTATCGGGTGCTTACTATTTGTTAAATTAATGAGCACAGATTCTAAAGTTGTTTTCTGTGTTTCTGCATTCTTTGGCATCCTTTGCACCCACTTTCACCCCCACACCCTGCTGTCAGACTCCCTGTTTAGTTCCTTTTAGATGTAGTGCTCTGCTTTAACTATTCTCATCTAGCTGCTACCAGCTATCTCTGTGCCCAAACCAGGATTTTGGCTTTAATATTTCAGCATAAGTCAACTCCTTCCACCATTTTCTCCGATTGAACATTATCTTAGGTGCCATTTTTCCTTATTGGAAATACACTCATAATGTGGCAGTTCTTTTATTTTTGGTTTTTTTATTTTTGGAAAAATGAGAAATTACACCCCATTTGATTCAAATGTATGATATGTCAAGATCATTGTGTTGTCATGAGCAACTAATAAAAAAAAAAGCCCTCATTTAATGCCCATTATTTTGATATCTGAGCAACTTTATTTTTTTTTATTTCAATTTGTTGAGTTGTAAGAGATGCACATGATAAAATGAGACTCTGATAGTATAAAAAGAAAGTAAATCTTCCCCCAAAACCCAATTCTCTTCTTTTCCTCCCTAGAGGCGACATTATCATCAGTTTTCTGTGTCTTGCCAGAGATATTTTATGCTCTTTTTTACTATACATAGCCTTTGGATCTTTGCAAAGACTTCCTTTATTTAATTAATGATATAGTTTTACATTGTTTCTCTTATTGAAAATCAGAGAATGAACCTTTACAGTAGGTCCCAGTGTATAGTTTTGTTTATTTTGGTACTAGGGATTGAATCCAGAGCTACTCTGCCACTGAGCTATACCCTCTACCCTTTCAATTTTTTATTTTGTGACAGGCTGGCCTTGAATTTGCCTTGAATCCTCTTACCTCAGCCTCCTGAATATAATAGGCGTGCACCACCACACCCAGCTGTATGGCAGTGAATACGAAGGACACTCTTTGCCTGTTAGTTTTTTTTGGGTTTTTGGTTTTTTTTTTTGTTTTTTGTTTTTTAATATTTATTTTTTTTAGTTCTCGGCGGACACAACATCTTTGTTTGTATGTGGTGCTGAGGATCGAACCCAGGCCGCACGCATGCCAGGCGAGCGCACTACCGCTTGAGCCACATCCCCAGCCCCTGCCTGTTAGTTTTGTTTTGTGTGCTTTTTATTTAGATGTAGCATTTAAATGTTGAATTTTAGGTTTCCTTAACATTTTTTCAACAAAAATTTTGTTCTGAGCAAACTACATTATCTCTGGATTTTGCCCACCTGAGCTAAAAATTTTAGATATATTTTCATATTTTGCTACCTTCACAATGAGCTAGGGTCCCTTTTGGAGTAAATTAAGGGCACAGATCTGCTTTGCTCACTGTCTTAAGTGGGTGTTTTGAAAAACATTCAGAAGTTATTGGATAGGAAACAGTAAACTATGTGATTTCATCTGATTTTTTTTTCCTCTATTTATTTTGTATTAACAGAGCTAAATGAGGATGTGTCTGCTGATCTTGAGGAAAGATTTCACCTGGGGCTTTTCACAGATAGGGCTACCTTGTACAGAATGATTGAAACTGAAGGTGAGGCAAATCCAGTCAACGTAATCCTTTCCGTATTCATCCTTCCCTAACATTTATATGCACCTCTTTTTGTGATTGCTATTTTCTGTTATTGTCATTGTAAGCGCAAAATGACGGGTGCACACCTCAGCAGATTGAGAGAAACCGTTTATTCATTCGAGGATTCAAGCACTCGGGCACTGTAGGGGCTCATTTCATGGAATCAACAGTGGTCTTTGGTTATAGGGAGGATTTGGGGTTTATAGGATACAATTAGGGTGGTTTCATCATTGGAACTTGTGGGCATGCCGGTTGGATAGTCAGGGGCTAGTTATTAAAAGATTAAAAGGCTGAAACTCATTGTTACTTAGAGAGATAGGAGCCCAGATTGTGAGGAATGGGTATTTTTGCCTCCTTCCTTCAATGCCTGTTGTAATTGGAAAAGGATTCCCAGGGACATTAATGCTTGGCTAACTTCCCTCCCTGCTCCATTTGCTTCATTTTCCTTTGGGGGCTATTTTGTAAAAATATTATTTTCCATAACTCCATGCTTTTACATATTTGCAAATATGCCCCTGACTTGGATATTTGTATCCATCCCCTGCATTATCATAATTCCCTAAACATGTTCATTTTGGGTGAGAGGATGCACATGAAAATGGTTGAGTGGGCAACTCACCACCCTGGTTCCAGGACCCCTTAAAATCATTCTGGTAGGTGACTAATTCATAAGTGAGTGACTGTTTAATTTCCTATTTCACTCTGCCTGTTTCTAGAAATCATCAAAGACAGATTTTCTGAAACATCTTTCAAATACTGTCTCTCTTCCATACAGGAAAAGGTCACTTGGAAAATGGCCACCCAGAATTATTTCACCAGCTTATGCTTTGGAAAGGAGCAGAAACAAACAAACAGCAGCAGAAAGAGGGGAGCTGACAGATAATCTTGTGGCTATGGCACCAGTAGGTATGTTCTTTCTGACAAAAGTACTATCATCTAATATATAACCACTAAAAATGGCTCACCAGGGCTGGGGTTGTGGCTCAGTGGTAGAGCGCTCGCCTAGCATGCATGAGGCACTGGGTTTGATCCTCAGCACCACATAAACATAAAATAAAGATATTGTGTTCACCTAAAACTTAAGAATAATTTTTTTGTTTTTAATGGCTCAATTCACTACAATACAGTAGGCTAATACCTCAACTCATATCCCACAAAAGGGCAGGAAATTGACACATTAATGCCAAAAGCATAATTGGAGACACATTAGTCCATTCTGTGTGACTATAATAAAACACCTAAAGAAAAGGAGCTTATGTATTATGTAGCTCATAGGATAGAGGTTCAAAAGCATAATGCCAGTGTCTGTTCAGCTCTGGTGAGAACTTTCTGGTCAAAAGCATCATAGTGGTAGCACTGTAAGCAGAACAGAGGCAGACAGTAAGCCAGAGATCAGGGGAAGGTCAAGCAGCTTCTTGAGGATTTTTTGTTGCTATTTTGGATTTTGTTTTTTCAGCACACACATTGAAGATTAAACCCAGACTTTACACATATTAAATATACATACGAGCTATATCACCAGCCCAAGGTTTGCTATTTCTCTAAGAACCGACTGTCATAGGAATCAGTCCATTCTATACAATCAACATCATTTCCAAGTGTGGTGCCCTCTTGACCTAATTATCATCCACTAGGCCCCCCTCTTAAAGGTTCTAACACCTCTTACCACTGCCACAGTAGAGACCAAGCCTCTAGCACATGAACAGGTACAAAACACATCTAAACCATAGCCAGTGAAAACTTCTTGAAGGACAGTTTGACCATTAATTAAAATACACATAACCTTTGGCTCAGCAATTCTAATTATAGGAATTTAAGTATATTCAGATACACGAATGACTTTCATCAAAGTGATGTTTATAATAGCAGAGATTGCAAGAACCTCTGTGTCCATCAGCATCAGTAAGAGACTGATTACAGCAGGTATATCCATACATTAAGTCTTTGTAGATACCAAAAGAATGAGGCAGCTGTATGCATTCTGTCATGGAATGGACATCCAAAATACAGACAGAAAAGAATCAGGGTATAGGTCCACAACAGAATATTGCAATATTCATTTGTATTTACACAGTAATGTAGTTACATATTCATAGACTGTTTCCTAAGTTTTGGTAATGGGTATTGCCTAAAGGGAAAGGAATTTGGGCAAGATATGATAGAAAGGTTCCAAGATAAAAAAGAAACCTTTTATGCCATCCTAGTTTTGTTTTATACTTTTTATCCAGTTATGCTATATATGTAGAGCAAGAAGTACACAAATCTTGAGTGTACAATAAATTTCACAAATTGAATGTACTCTCGTAAGCAGCACCCATATCAAGAAATATATCCTTACAACCAGGCATGATAGTTCATGCCTGTAATCCCAGCAACTCCAGAAGCTGAGGCAGGAGGATCGTAAGTTCAAGGCAAGCCTCAACAACTTAGGGAGACCCTGTCTTAAAAATGAAGTGTTGGGGATATAGCTTAGTGGTTGACCCCCCCTGGGTTCAATCCTCAGTACCAAAAAAAAAGAAAGAGAAAAAAGAAAAAAATATACCACTAGATAAACTCTGGAAGTTACCCCATGCTACCTTCCAGTTGCTCTTTCCCTTAACCCCAAAGGGGGTAACCACTTTCCGGAACTTAATACTTTTTTGTGTCTTTTGAATAATATAAGCAAAGGAACTATTTATGTTTTGAACATGGAAGTGAAAAGAGGCAAAAGAAGCAACTGATCTGTAATGGCAGTTGAATCAACATCTGAATGTTCTGCTTAATGCATTATCTAGGGAAACAAAATTTTCAGCCCAAATGTACCTGCTCCCTCCTCCCCTTCCATAAACCTTTTTTTTTTTTTTTTTAAACCACTATCTTTCCTTTTTTTCATCTGGCTACCATGTATGGCTATGGGCTGTGGAAGCCTTTGCCAAACAGTTGTGTTTCCAGGATCAGTATGTCAAAGCTGCCTCTCATCTGCTTTCTATTCACAAAGTGTATGAAGCTGTGGAGCTGCTCAAGTCAAACCACTTTTACAGGTTTGTATGGTCCTAGAATTTATCCAGTAGTTGTATATAATATAATCTAAACTTTAAAGCAATATAAAATGAAGAAACTACACAAAACAGGTAATAGATGAACAAGTTATTACAGTGGGAACTCCCTACTCCCTTTTGAAGCCCGCCTGTGAAACGAAACAGGATCTTTTGAGCCACTACAGAAGTTCTCCTGACACCCCCCCTTTTTTTTTTAATAAAAATCTAACATTCCACATTTAGTTGAAATGCCTTTCCTCTAATCTATCCTAATTCCCTCTTCTCTAGAAGTAACAACATTCCTGAGAATGATACGAATCTTTCCCATATATATTGTTTCACTATACTACATATGTAATTACCAAAAACAATATGAGAAAAATAGTTCTTGTACATAGCATACAATTGGGTCTTGTTTTTTCCCAGTCTGATCACTGCCATTTAGTTGGAAGGTTAGACCATTTATATTTAATGTAAATATTGATGTGGTTGATTTAAATTTACTGCCCTGCTATTTGTTTTCTATTTGTCCCATTCTTTTTTTTTTCTTCTTTTCCAGTTTTCTTTTGGATGAACTGAGTGTTTTTAATTTCTAAGTATTTTTTTTTTTTAATTTATTTTTTAGTTGTAGTTGGACACCATACCTCCATTTTTTATTTATTTTTAATGCGGTGCTGAGGATTAAACCTAGGGTCCCATGCAAGGCAAGTGCTCTACCGCTGAGCCACAACTCCAGCCCCTTAATTTCTAATTTAAAACTGTAATACTGACTTATTAGCTGTATATTCTTTACTTTTTAGTGGTTCCTTTGGAGTTTGTATTATTTTTAATTTATCACAATTTATTTTCAAGTAATATTATACTATTTCATGTGTATCATTGTACTTCCTTCTTCCCATCCTGTCTGCTATTTTCATATGATATTTAATATGTTGTACATGTAATAACCCCTCATTACTCTATGAATATTTTGCTTTAAACAATTCTTTACCTTTTAGTGATTTTTTAAGCATTTATATTTATCCATGTTTATTATTTCCTAGCAGTTTTCTTTCTTCTATGTAGATCCAAATTTCCATTTGCTATCAATGTCTTCACTTGAAGAACTTCCAACACTTTTTTATACTATGCTCTGCCAGCAACAAATTCTTTGTTTTTGTTGTTGTTGTTTGTTTGTTTGTTTGTCTTGTCACTGCTTCAGCAGTTCTATTTTCTCCTTTTTTGAATTGTTCTTTACTTGACTGCTAAATTTATTTCTCTCTTTGCAGGAACTGTGGGGTTTTGTTTTGTTTTTTTCCTCTCATTTTAGGACTTTTCTCTCATTAATTTGCAACAATCCGATATAATGTGCTTTGGTGAGATTTTCTTTTGCTTATCCTGGTTAGGTTTTGCTCTCTTCCTTCAGAGAGTGTTGAAGTTTGTTTTGGCAAGTTGAAGACATCTAGATTTTTTTCATGACATGGTCTAAGCTTTTTTAGGGCAGGATTAGAGAAATCCATAGCCCAGAAGTAGTTTAGCTCTTCTACCTTCTGAAGTCTTCACTGAATTGCCTTGTGTTATTCAGCAACTCACAAATCTGATGTCTCCAAGCTCTGAATGAGCTCTGGGATCGCTCAGCTTATGGTTCCCTAAATGTCCTTTGTTCATCCTTAAGGAATGTCCTACACATCATGGCTTTGTATTTAGCCAGAGACTAAACAGAATCCCATGCAGAATTTTGGCAGTCTTTCTCTGGACAGCTTCTTCCTTTCTAGTATCCTGTCCCTCAAATTCCATTTGTTCTGTTTCTCCTCAACTCTTGAGTCTGCTGAATCTCCACTAAGATTCCACTTAGAAAGTGCTTTAGATAGGAAGTCATTGTCACAATAGGGCACACATTGTTCCTTTTCTCTTGGAGATGACAGCTTTGCACTGTTGAAAACAATTGTTTTGGGCTGGGGATGTGGCTCAAGTGGTAGTGCGCTTTGCCTGGCATGCGTGTGGCCCGGGTTCGATCCTCAAGCACCACATACAAACAAAGATATTGTGTCCGCTGAAAACTAAAAAATAAATATTAAAAAAAAAATTCTCTCTCTCTCTTTAAAAAAAAGAAAACAATTGTTTCATACAAATTCTACTCAGTGTTTAAAAAAAGTTTTATGGCAAGGGAGTAATTCTGGTCCCAATGCTCCATTACAACTATAGATAGAAGTCCTGCAATACTTCTTAAATATTTAATCTAAAACACTTTTATTCCAGCTATAACTTTATTTTGCCGCAACTCAGAATTTGTACGCCATTTGGAAAATATTAGTTTGCTGAGTTATACAGATCTTCCAAATGTTGACACAGTTCATTATAAAAATATTTTTTAATCACATTTCTCTGTAATCACCATCAATCTCATAAGAAAAGTCTTTATCTTTTGGGAAGCTTTCAGGTTCCCAATGTTTTCTAAAATTTGAATCTTCACTAGCAAGCTTAGATTTTATTGTTGGCAATGGTTACTGTTGATTTCCCTACAGTGATAAGCTTGCTTTGTTCATTTTTAAGAAAACATCTTTCAGATACCCAACTCTAAATAACACTGATCTGTTAGGGTTTTTTTTGTTTGTTTTTTAAAGAAATGGGGTGCCATGAAGAAAGCAACTTGTTCAACTTGCAGTTCAGGTTTTTATTAGAGACAGTCATTCTTTGGAATACAGCAAAGAACATAAAATGTTCTTCCCATTTTGTCACATAAATTTTAAAATGTTGGCTTGAGGGGTTTAGTAAAATTAGTAATGTTTAATTAGTATCACTTTCTTGATTCCTGATCACATGACACCAGTTTATCCACCATAACTTTTCACAATCAGTGCAAATGTCAGCACACTTTTTAAGAGGCACATAACCTCTTTGCATTATTATGAAAATAGTTTTGACCTCATGAACCCTCAAAAGGGCCTTGAACCCCTAAGGAATCCATAGACCATTCTATAAGAACTTCTGGCTTGATGAAGATTGAACAAAATCATGTGTTTTTAACTTGCCAGTGTTATGGAGGAGTTCCTTTTTTTACAGGAAGTTGGAACATTACAGACAACATAAAAGGGACAGTTTATTCTTCCCTGCAGTCCCTCCTGGGACTTCCTAGAAAGGAACCTTTTGGTGTTGGCTAAAGTATCTCTTCTTGCCTTTAGGGAAGCTATTGCAGTTGCCAAGGCTCGGTTGCACCCAGAGGACCCAGTCCTGAAGGATCTGTACCTCACCTGGGGAACCATCCTAGAAAGAGATGGGCATTATGCCATAGCAGCCAAATGGTAAGCTCGAGGGAAGCATGGGTGACCCAGGAACAGCCTCCACCAGCAAGAGCATGACAAAATTAAAGTACAAGTCTAGAAGTGGAAGCAAAGTAGCTAGAAAATGTTTAAAAATGTATATTAAACCCAACTTCACAGGATTTAGAAGGATCTGACTGTTTGGTATTATATAAGTCATCATAACATCTGAAAACCTCAATAGCAGGCGCAGAGATTCTGCCATTTTCTAGTGATGTTTTATACCTTTCCCAATAAGGAGAATGGAGAGAATGACCCTTCTGTTTGGATTCAGATTGGCTCTCATCCAGGTTCCCTATATTCTTAACTCAAGCTACTGTCTGTCACACACCATGCTGAGTTACACTGGCCTGAGCCTTCACAAAAACAACCAGATGCAGTGGCACCTGAGGCCATAGCAAAGTGGACAGAAAGAAGTAATGCTACCCTCGGCGGGGCAGGGATAGGTGCTCTGATGACAATGCCCTGTTTGGGTTTTGCCTTCACATTACAGCTATTTAGGAGCCACTTCCCCTTATGATGCGCCAAAGTTTTGGCAAAAAAAGGGGATGCAGCCTCACTTAAAACAGCGGCGGAGCTGGCTGCGATCGTAGGAGAGGATGAGTTGTCTGCTTCTCTGGCTCTCAGATGTGCCCAAGAGCTGCTTCTAGCCAAGAATTGGGTGGGAGCCCAGGAAGCCTTGCAGCTACATGAAAGCCTACAGGTCAGTCTTATTTTCTCCTGGGATTTAAGAGGGATGAGTCCCAAATCCTTTTCTAGTCAAATCCAAGTGAATAACCCCAATTGCACAAACTATTAATTTTATCCTTAGAAGTGTCTAGCAAGCCCTGGCCATTTTATCCCACTGAAGTACCATGTCTTCTCAGTTACTGTACTTACAAGAGGTAATGTGGACATTCACAGTAATTCCCTTTGCTCATCAGTTTATACAAAACATCTGTGAAACTGGGCACAGTGGCACATACCTGTAATCCCAGTATTTTGGGAGGCTGATACAGGAGAATCATGAGTTCAAAGCCAGCTTCAGCAATGGCGAGGCGCCAAGCAACTCAGTGAGACCCTGTCTCTAAATAAAATACAACATAGGGCTGGGGATATGGCTCAGTGGTCGAGTGCCCCTGAGTTCAATCCCCGGTACCCACCCAAAAAAAATCTGTGAATAGCCTTTAGGCCCCAGCCTCTGGATTATAGTCTAGTGTTTCTGCGTTGATGTAATCAGCAGGGTCATCCTGGAAGGGAGAGCATGGTTGGCCTCCAACAAAAATCATGGTGCTCTTCCTGTAACACCTCTCGTCAGCTGTAGGCTATAAAAAAATTATAAAAATATGTAGGGAAATAGAAGTGTTTTATTTCTTAAATGCTTATTTGTCCCTATGTAGCTAAAAATTAGTAATTTGATAGAAGATGTAGTTCAGTGGTGGAGCACTTCCTAGTGTGCCTGAAGGCCTGGGTTTGATCCTCAGCAATAAAAAATAATGATGAGTAACTTACCAATGTCTTTTTAACACATCAAAACTGAGATGACATTTAAAGCATTGGCACTCTTCACCCAGTTTCCAAAGAATATACACATTTGGTCCCTTTTAGATATCTGCTTGTCAGATACTAATGAAGTTGTTTTTAGTGTTGATTTTCTATTTCTTTGTTTTTGGGTTTGTTTTGTTTTGATTTGATTTATACCGGCGATTGAACTCAAGCACTTAACCACTAAGCCACATCCCCAGCCCTGTGTTGTATTTATTTAGAGACAGGGTCTCACTGAGTTGCTTAGTTCCTCATTGTTGCTGAGGCTGGCTTTGAACTCAAACTCCTCCTGCCTCAGCCTCTGGAGCTGCTGGGATTACAGACATGCACCACCACACCCAGCCAGTAAAATGTTTTTTAAATTCCTCTTCCCTAGCAATAGTAAATAGGCTTAAGACAGTTCCTAGCTGAGTATTTAAAGCCCAAAGAAAATGCTACATGGGGAGTAGCTTTCAGAAAGAGCAAATAAAAAATGGATGCACAAATGGTATATCTTAAAGAGTGCCACTGAGTTTATTTTTTATAAAATGACCAAAATCTGAAGAGACTTTAATTTACAGAAAAAAAAAAAGTCAGAACAGTTATTTCACATTTCTTTTTTTCCTTTGACACAGTATCAAAGAACAAAGGAGAAAAAAAAAAACGTATCAGCTGTACTAAATATTCTGAAGAGTGCATTTTGACTGTATGGTCTTTGCTTTTGTTCTGTATCAGATGATTCCCTTATAAACCTCCTTGGAGATGGTCCGTGCTCCATGCCCCTCCCTCAGATCTGCAAAGCTTGTCTGTCCCAATACTTTCAGCCTTTATGCATTACTTCTGTATTCTTCATTCTGGGGCTTGGGAAGGTAGAAGGAACCTGATAAGCCCAGCCCATCTTTTCTCAAACTGGGCCACAAGTTTTAGGTGGCTGGCCTTATATGTGGCTTAAATTATAGTAAAAGATACTATAGTTGAGGATTTGTTATAAAAATGGTTTCTTGGGCTCCAAGGACCAAAGGATGGAATTCCCCCAAAAGGCCCCTGGAAAATATCCATTAGACTCTGCCTCTTTTTCCCACTCATATATCACTTGACTTGAACAGGAAGTTCACAATGATGGGCCTTGGTTGCTGCAGATGCGAAGGGGAATACTTTCAAGAACGGGGAAAGCTCTCTAGGGAATCAACTGCTTTTCTGTGTAATGCTTTCTCCTCTTTGTTGTTGGATCCCAGAGTCAGAGACTGGTGTTTTGCCTGCTTGAGCTCCTGTGCAGGCATCTGGAGGAAAAACAGCTTCCAGAAGGCAGAGGCTTCTCTTCTTACCACGCTTGGGCCATAGGCACCGAAGGTCCCTTTGTGCAGAGAGTGACTGCAGTGTGGAAGAGCATCTTCAGCCTGGACACCCCAGAGCAGTATCAGGCTGTCTTTCAGAAGCTGCAAAACGTCCAGTATCCATCTGCCACAAATAACACTCCCTCCAAACAGGTACCTGGGTATCTATGCCAGCACTTGATATTAATCACTCAGTAACAAGGCTTCCTTAATTCATGTCAGTATAATAGGGAAGCAAGTGAAATACAGTTGGCCTTTCAGAAGAAAAACAAGGCAGGTCCAGAACCCCTCAGATTACTTAAAGCCCTTTAGCTTTGAAATAGTCTTGGGTCAGTATTTTTTTTTCTAAGTCTGAATAGTATGGAGAAAAACAGAATAATGTAAATACACATATTCATTTGGGTTTTTTTGTTTGGTTCAAAAGTAGGAAAAAAATTGAAATCACTGTTGTTCCTTTTCTCAGCCCCATCCCCATTTCCTGGCTCATCAAAGGCAGCTTCTGTGTTGTACCATATATATTATTTTGTGACTTGTTTATTTCAGTGGCCACTGTAAAATTATCCATGTTGAAACAAAGAGATCAAGTTTATTTATTTTGATTGCCTATGTCCATTTTGTGAATATGCCTTGATTTATCTACATTTTCTTAAATATTTTTTTAGTCGTAGATGCACACAGTGTCTTTATTTATTTATTTATATATTAAATAAGTGGTGCTGAGGATCGAACCCAGTGCCTCACACGTGCGAGGCAGGTACTCTACCACTGAGCCCCAGCCCCTACATTATATATATATTTTAAATTATTATTGATGGACCTTTATTTTTATTTATTTATTTACATGTGGTGCAGAGGATCAAACCCAGTGCCTCACACATGCTAGACAAGTACTCCACCACTGAGCCACAACCCCAGCCCCCTACATTTTAAAATGAAAGGATCCTTTTATATTTTTAAGGGGAAAAAAAAAAAAAACCTTTGGAAAACAGTCTGGCAGGGTTTTTGTTGTTATTTTATCTTTTGCAGTTCTGGGTACTAAACGACAGGATTTCATGTTGTACAGGCCGGCCTCGAACCTGCAGTCCTTCGCCTCAGCCTCCCAACTAGCTAGGATTACAAGCATGTTTCACCAAGGCTGCCCTAGTTTTTTCTAAAGTTAAATATACATGTACCGTGTGACCCAGCAATTCCATTGCTTAGATATTTCACTTTAAGAAATGAAATCAGGTGTCTATATGAGTACTTGCATACAGTCATTTGTAGCAACTTAGTTCACAATAGCCCAAACTAGAAACAACCCTAATATTCATCCACTGGTAAATCCATATGCAGACAGAGGTGCATTTGGGCCAGGTGCGATGGCAAACACCTGTCATCCCAGCAGCTCCAGAGGCTGAGGCAGGAGGATCATGAGTTCAAAGCCAGCCTCAGAAACTTAAGCAAATCCCTAAGCTACTTGGCAAGACCCTGTCTCTAAATAAAATACAAAAACAGACTGGGGATGTAGCTCAGTGGGTAAGCCCCCGCCTGGGTTCCTGGGTCAGTCCCCAGTACCTCAAAAAAAAAAAAGGTTCATTTATATAATTAAATATTTTTATCAGTTAACAAAAGGAACACATTTCTGCTGCACAAATAATGTCAGTGAATCTTGAAAACATGCTAACTAAAAGAAACAAAAGACTATAAGATTCTATGGTCCCATTTATCTAAATTCTAGAAACAACAAAACTTAAGTGACAGGAAATAGATCGGTGTTCTCTAGGGACTAGAGTGAGGAGTACAGAATAGTTTTGATTGATGAAGGTGTTCTATCTTGATTTTGGTGATATGTTACTGAACTATACATTTGCCAGAATTCATCAAACTATGTATCTAAAACTGGTGATACGTTACTGAATTATACATTTGCCAGAATTCATCAAACCATGTATCTAAAACTGGTTGATTTGTATCTTAATTATACTGTCAGTTTTGATTTTTATTATAGCTTTTATTTAAAGGAAATGAAAATGTAAAGGCATTTTCTCAATGTGATACTTTAATTCCAGACATTGTATGTTGCTATGAAAGTAGATATGAAAGTTTCTTATGGGGAAGCAAAGATGGGTTGTGAAAATGGGACCTTTCAGAATTGTGACTTGAGTGTACCTACATGCAGTGCCTGCCACAAAAGGAGGTTTAACTGAAACTCTGGCCCCTCTCCAGCTCCTGCTTCATATTTGCCATGACTTGACCTTGGCAGTGCTGAGCCAACAGGTGGCCTCCTGGGATGAGGCTGTGCAAGCACTGCTTCGGGCTGTGATCCGGAGCTACGACTCTGGGAACTTCACCATCATGCAAGAAGTCTACTCGGCCTTCCTCCCTGATGGTAAGTGACCCCCATCTCTGCCTCTGGCACTCCATTAATGAACAACCTATACACAACTGTGTCACCAGGAGTATCAGGGTTATTAAAAGATGAAGATTGGCCAAGTTGTGTCATTTGATAGCAAGTTTGAATTCTGATTCAAGCTCCTAAGAGGTAACCAGGATGTCTACACTATTTTCCTTTACCTGCCACCTTACTGCCTTCCCAGTTTAAGAGGAACAGAAATGGTAATGCGTCACAAGCTAGTAAGATTAGAAAAGCACAGTAAAAGACCTTCCTTAAGCTGCACAGTTCATCACTGAAGTAAATCATTGTGATTTTTTCAGAGCACATTGTGATCTTACCTCAGTCACTGTGCCCCAGAGCCTGCAGTAAGACAGATGGCATACTGTCCCATGCCAGGAACTACTTAGCTTCAGTTGGCTGTGGGGAGAAGCGTGGGATTCCTGCTGTCCTTTTCCTTGGGGTGTTCCTCTTGGGTAACAGGGCAAGATGCCAGATTTCTGGCAAATAGAGAAACGTACAACTCGGTACTCTCCTTCTTCTCCTAGGCTGTGACTACCTAAGAGACAAACTGGGTGACCATCAATCCCCAGCCATACCAGCTTTCAAAAGTTTGGAGGCCTTTTTTATTTACGGGCGTCTGTATGAAATCTGGTGGTCTCTCTCCAGGCCTTGCCCTGAGTCCAGTGACTCGGCGAGGGCTGGTCGTGGGAGGACTCTCTCTGTTGAGCAGCTGGACAGTGCCAGGGCTGAAGAGACTGACCCTGAAGCTGCTCCTCAGCCAGAGCCAAGCAGACCTGCAGAACTACTATTGAGACTCACAGAAGAAAGTAAGCGAGTGCTAAGTGCTTGTAAGGAGCTCTTTTCAGAAAAGCATGCCAGTCTCCAGAACTCACGCAGAACTGTTGCTGAAGTCCAAGAGACTTTAGCAGAAATGATCCGTCAACACCAGAAAAGTCAGCTCTGTAAATCCACAGCCAATGGTCCTGATAAGAATGAACCTGAACAGGAAGAAGACCTTGCTAGTCCTCAGAGCCAGTGGTAAGTACTGAGTTGAGCACAACACAGAATGAAAATTATCCTCCTGAACTCTCATGTCATTATGTCTCAAGTACATGATGTAAATGATTGGAGTCATTTGGAAATAGCATAATACAGTATTTAAATTAAATTCCAAAGGCACCGACTTCGAAATGAGTTGTGAGTTCTAGGGTCTGGCCCCACCAAATAACCTCAGATAAGTCTCTTTATCTCAGCTTTAGTTTCCTCACCAAGGATATACCAGAGCCTGGCAGACGGCACAGTCCTATAATCCCAGCTACTCAAGAAGCTGATGAGACAGGAGGATCTCAAGTTCAAGGCTAGCCTGGCTAACTGAGAAAGACCTTTTCTCAGAATAAAATTTTAAAAAGAGCTAGGGATGTAGCTTAGAGGCAGAAGTTCCTAGCTTTAGTACCACCAAGAAAAATGAGGCTACCAACTCCTACCTCCCCCACAAAAAATCAGTCATATAAAATGTGGAGTCACATGACTGCATCATTAATGAAAAATAATTCTATTATTCTATGCTATTAAACACACACAAAGGATAGTGTATAAAACTGGACACTTAGATGACAAAATCTAAATTATGGGATGCTGTCACTTCCTAATCATGTCCAGTGAAAACAGGCCAGTGGAGGATGGGAGCCAATCACTGACCACTACAGAGCTTTGCTGGAAGCTTCACAGTGACTGATAATTTCTGCTTGGTTATCATGCTAAGTACCTTTTACCTTCATTATGTTCCCTAGCACAAAGCCCAGAAAATACTAGAACAATCAATAAACATAGCTATTATTACTACCTTAAAAAAATTAAAACTTTGAAGCCTTAAATCCTTTCAAAATGCTCCCATGAAAACATGGGTTAGGGCTAAAGTTGTAGCTCAGTGGTAAAGTGCCGCCTGGCCTACACAAGGCCTGGGTGGATTCTAATCTGTGGCTCTTAGAGTTGAATCACAGGACCCCTTTAAGAAGCTTAAGAAATACTCTGTGCAGAAAAATAATAATGCATCCACACATCTCTGTAGTTAGGAGCCCTGGCTCAGTGTAACCATCTTCTAAAGAAACCTAGGCCTACATTTGACTTCAGTCAAATGCAGAAAAGTCCTAAATTATTATTATTGGAGCTGTGTGTCTGAAGGATTTGGAAAATGGTGAAGAACAATAGTACATTTTGAAAATTTTATGTCTGGGCTTGTGGTGTATCTCAGTGGTAGAGCGCTTACCAGGAATGCATGAGGCCCTTCCTGCCTATGAGTAAATCACCTCAAATTAAATTGCCATCTCTTGATCTCAGTTATTTGTGAGATAAGTTACCCAGGCACACCAGGTTCAGTGGCACTGTGATCCCAGTGACTCAGGAAGCTGAGGCCAGCCCAGGCAACTTAGGGAGAACCTGTCTCAAAATGAAAAAAAGAAATGAAAGGTCTGGGGAGGTAGCTCAGTAGTAGAGTACCCAAGATTCAATCCCCAGTGTCATGGAGGGTGGAGGGAGATTACCCATGCATAGCAGATAACCCAGTTCAAAATAAGTAAAGGACTTGAATAGACATTCCTCCAAAGAGATATACAAATGTCTGGTAAGCACATGAAATAGACTCAACATCAGTAATCATTAGGGAATGTAAATCAAGACTTCAGTGAAACAAAAGGCACATCATATCCATTATGATGATTACTATAAAAAGAAAAATAGCAAGATATAATCAGGCATGGTGGCATTACATAATTATATTCACAGCAGCTCAGGAGGCTGAGGCAGGAGGATGGCAAGTTCAAAGCCAGCCTCAGCAAAAGTGAGGTGCTAAGTAATTCAATGAGACCTTGTTTCAAAATAAAATACAAAACAGGGCTGGGGTTGTGGCTTAGCAGTAGAGTGCACACTTAACATGTGCAAGGCTCTGGGTTCAATCCTCACCACCACATATAAATACATAAATAAAATAAAGGTATTGTGTCCAACTACAACTATAAAAAATAAATATTTTTTTCAAAAAATAGGACTGGAGATGTGGCTCAGTGGTCAAGTGCCCCTGAGTTCAATCCCCAGTATCCCACCCACCCCCTGCCAAAAAAAAAGTGGCAAGTGATGATGAGGGTACATTAGAAATTAGAACCTTTCTGCAGTGTTGGTAGGAATATAAACGAGACAACCACTATGGAAAACAATAGGCAGTTCATCCAATTAAAAACAGAATTACCGTATGATCTAACAATTTTACTTCTGGATATACAGCCAAAGAATTAAAAAGCAAGGTCTCAGAATTGTATAGCCATGTTTATAGCAGAGCATCAAAGAGCTAAACAAGGAAACAACCTAAATATCCAAAGAGAGAGAATGTCAAAATTTCCCTCCTTGCTTATCTACAACTCTTGAGAATGAATCTTGAGGATATTATGCCAAGTGAAATAAGCCAGTCACAAAAAGATAGAGACTATGATTCCAACTGTATGACAGAGTAGAGTGGTGGCTGCCAAGAGGGGGGAAGCAGAGAATGGAGAGTTATCATTTAATGTGTGTAGAATTTCAGTCTTACAAGACAAAAAGAAACAGATTTCTGGGTGTGGATGGGAATGATGATTTTACAACATCGGGGAAAGTGTTCAATACTACAGAACAAGTGTACTTAAAAATGGTCAAGATAGTGAATTTTATGATATGTGTATTTTACCGTAATAAAAATAATTAAGGGGGAAAGTTAAAGGCAAGATACCTGACTTGTACTTTATTATTATTACTAGTAAAGAAGAAAAAAATGAGATGGTCTCTCTGCCTGAATTAACCAAAAGGCTTACGGAGGCAAACGAAAGAATGGCTGACTTTCCTGAGAGTATTAAGGTAAGCTCTATAGCAGTACTTCTGATAAGACACACTTTTTGTGTTATCACTTGACTCTACAGATTTTTAAAGGTAATCTACTTCTCTCTTCAGTCTCTAAAATCTAAATATTTATGTACTTAAAAATTTAGGATCCAGTTGTTTCTGGTTAGCCAAAATGTTTTGTGGAAATGAAACTAGAATTATTGATCACACAAGATAGTCTGAAAACTGAGTCCAAAGAGAAATCAAACATTTTACAATTGGAAGGTAAGAAGTAAAATGTAAATGGTGCCACATATTTGATAGCTTACAATATGTAAGAAAATTGGCTGTGGCTCTAGAAGAAGAGCAGCAGCATTTTTTGAGTTGATTTTAGTAGGCCACTAGAAAAATGATCACTTGACAAGGAAATCTAGTAGCCACCCTAGTTTTGCATGTCATTTATGAGAGAAATGGTTCAGTCCAGCCTGAGAAGAATGATTAGATGAATCTGGATTAGTAGTGTCGTCTGTGGCTCTTTTGCAAATGTGTCTTTATTCATCCTTACATCTTTCAGACCTGGCCCTTCCCAGATGTGCTGGAGTGCTGCCTCGTCCTGCTTCATATTGGGTCCCAGTACCCTGGCTGTGTGACCCAAGAAATGCAACAACAGGCCCAAGAACTCCTTCAGAAATACAGCAACACTAAAGCTTACAAAAGACACTGCCAGACCTTCTGCACGTGAACTTTCAGGGACCTTGCAGAAACTGTGCCACAGAATTATTGACATCTTTCAACTCTGCAGTTACACCTCGCCAGGCATTCACTCTGATCCGTAGATGTGTTTGCAGTAATCCAGACTAATACAGTGAGGGTGGTTAAGCTTGAATCAACTGTCTACCCTTAGACACAGTGGAGTCTGACTTGGAACTCAAAATCATGGGAAGCCAGCAATAGTTGCTCAGAACTAATACCTGCAGAGTGATTATGTCATCTCTAAAGCCTTATGCAGGTTTCACCCAAAGAGGAGAAACTTTTGTAACCACCCAAAGTGTTATGTTCTTGAACACAGCTACCTTTATAAATACTTGACCTGATCGTAAACAACTCATTTTTGTTGAAGGTGGAATTGCCACATTTTATGGCTATTGGTATAGTTTTGTTTTTAATTATTTTTATTAACCTAGGTTCTCCCACATATACTCTTTCCAAGACTCAAGTTTGAATGTGATATAGGCCTTTCTCATCATGTTGACTCTTGATCCTTCATCTGAACTTTAGGTTGAAAGTTTGATTTTATTGTTTTACAGAATTGCTTATTTGGACAAATCAGTTACTAAAGCTTTACAGCAACAAATAATTATCTCAAATGTGTGTTATCCCTTCAGTTTTGTGACAAATGATTGATGGTGATCAATTAGCTCAGGAAGAAATTATTTCAGTGATTCTTAATCTTTTGTGGTCACAGAACCCTTTTGAGAATTAAAACCACAAATACTCTTTGGAGAAAAATGCATATTCTTAATTTTATGTATATAAGTTTTGGATCATTGGACTACAGTCTTACCACAAAGGAACCCTAATACTATTTAATTACAAATTGTTTTTTTTTCTTTAATATTTTTAGTTGTAGATGGACACAATACCTTTGTTTATTTATTTTTATGTGGTGCTGAGGATCAAACCCAGGGCCTCATGTGTGCTAGGCAAGCGCTCTACCACTGAGCCCCAACCCCAGCCCCTGTAAATTCTTATTCTTCCTTCTGCAGATTTAAACAGTTGAACAATATTTCATATCCAGTTACTAAGACAGGAAAATTAGACAATCTCAGGTGGGGGAGGGAGTACTCCTTCCCAATAATTTAACTGTTTTCTTTTAAGATTCATTGTGAAGGCTTTTTTGCTTGGGTATCTAGTTTTTCAATTAATTCCTAAGGTTGGAGTTGTAAAAGCAGCAAGAATGAAATTAACAGGGACTCTCAAATAAGAAAAAGGCTTGAGAGACAGTTTTGTTTAAAAGACATTTGTAAGTGCCTAGCTTTAATGTTTAAAAAAATGCTAAATCACAAAAAGGAAATACAGTAAAATTTAAATCCTCATAGTCCTTTACATAGTAACTGAACTTTAATAAGAAGATGCAGTGGTCCTAAGGGTAGAGAATCTTTGAATGCAAAGATAAATGGGTGTGGCTAACTGCAGACTAGATGGCAGGTTCCACAACAAATTAAAAAAAAAAAAATGTATTCCCTTCCAACTTGAGTAATGAGCAGTTATTAAACTAGAAATTCCAAACTCCTGTGTGATTCACTAAAACATTACCTGTGGGAGGAGGAACTCTGCACAAATACAAATACTGCTTGGTAAGACCCAAGAATTGCTACTTGAAAACTGCAATAAAAACAAGGCTGTCTCCTATCGATGGTCCACATTTCTCCCTTGAATGTGTACTTCTAACTTAACCCCAAAAGATGTCTTTCCCTTGAGATATCCCTTCTCCCTTGAATGTGCATCTGCTTTCCTCTCTGAAAAGGAAAAAAAAAAAAATAGCAGAAGTATAACAAAAACAACTCATCTTCCTCTTAAACTCCTTCCCTAGTCTAATACTGTATAGTATGTTTATTATAATTTGAGTAAATAATTATCATTTATATCTCCCTAATTATCAGAACCATAATAAGCCAGAGCACCAAGCAGATGACTCAGGTACTTCAGTGGCAAAGCAATCGTTTTGGTTCTTCATCTCTAATTTCCCCCTACCCCTACAACATCCCAGATCAACATCTGGTTACCACCACCTAGTTACCTGGATGATTGCAGTGGCCTTCCAGAGTTTCTCTGAATGCACGCTTATTACTAATTCTCCATTCTTCCTCTAGCTTCATGAGTTCCCTTCTTAACAACCTTTCCCATGAGTCTTGCGAGGGGAGGGGGGAGATACAAATCTTCAATGTAGTTTACATGGGCAAGCCTGTTCCCATGCCACCTCTTGGCTACTATCATCCTGTTCCTAGATTCCAGCCACAATAGTCTTTATTGCTGGAACACACCAACTTTAATTCTGTCACCTCTGGGGGTTTACCTATATTGTTCCCCTGGATGACTTAACCCGTTTTTAGTTCTCAGCCTAAATGCCCTTTCTCTGAAAATACTCCCTCAATGTCAACCCCAGTTACTCATACGTTAAACTCTATTTGTATGAATTATTTACTGTCTGACAACACAGGGAAATTGTAAACTCCAGGGAGGGTAGAGACCCTAGCAAGTGCCCAGTACTTTGTAGGTGCTCAATGAGAATTCACTGACTTGAATAAATGAGAAAATTAATTCACTGGTAGCTTGGACTTAAAAGAGCTCTAAAGTGACTTCATTCATTCCAGCAGTGGCTTGTGGTTGACAGTCCACCTTACCAGAACAACAGAACACGGGAATTCAAAATATTGGGCAATATATATAGGATTGAACTATACCCAAAGTTGACCCTTCTACGCCATGCTTTTCTGAAAATGACTACTTACACACTATGCAGAGTTCTGGCCAGTTCTTTAGTTAAAACCACTTTAATAACCTCAAGCCTCTCCCGTGCAGTGATCAGACCTCTACTCAACATTTGGGTTCCTCAACCCTTCATCTCAGCATTTCTCCTGACATGTAATTCTGTTCTCAGTTGTAGAAAAGATAAATCCCTATTTTAATCCAAATTTGGAAGGACACCTGTAAGAGACTCATTAGTGCCAGGGTTCCTTGACTGCTGAGTGCAGCTTTCCAAATTTTACAGTAATAAATATCCTCTTATACACAACCTCCCTCCCAGCCAAAATTAGATCTGCTGGGCACAGTGGTACAAGCCTGTAGTCCCAGCTGTACAGGAGGCTAAGGCAGTAGGACAGCTTGAGCCCAGGTGTTCAAGGTTGGCCTGGGCAACAACAAAACCCAGACTGGATACAAATTTTTAAATATTAGCTCTGTTTTGGATTTATAATTCCACATTTTTATGCAGTAGAATAGAAAGACAGAAACAATACCCTGAGCCAAGTCTAGCATACCTCACATTCGTACATCCTAAAGAATTCCATTAATTAACAACAAGCTAATCCACCAAAGATGATGAGTGGCCCCAGAAAATAAAATTGATTTCGTAGCAAGGCTTGACAGCAGTGTAAGAAGCAGACAATTCTGTCCACTGGTGCTCCTTAGTAAGTTCCTACCAGATGAAATGTTTTGAATGTAACATAATAAAGGCAAGACCCTTCCGCGTCATTCCATCTTCCAAAGACCAAACCTTCATGCCAGTGGTTAAAAAAATCTTTATTTTACAAAATTAAAAACATAAATTATATTTACAAGCATCTTAAATACCAGCTTATAATACTTGACATTTTTTAATCATTTCAAATTGAGTTTTCCATAAGCTTTTAAAATGCAAGATTATTCATCCACTTCAGCGAATTACTGGTTTTTATTTCCACCATTCCAAAGAGGTTTTTGGTTTTTCAAAACTCCATTCTGTAGTCATTCGAAAAATCACAGTGTACTTTTTAAATGATTAGTTTAAAAAAAAAAAAAAGTCCTGAGCTTTCTATCCCCATTTGTGGGATATTACTCCAAGAGATCTCTCCAAACCAAGTTCCTTTACTGCCCTATTTATAAGTTACTGTAACTTTCTTAAAAGAGTCTCGTTCCTGGTACTCATTAATCCATCTAATTCCTGGAGTTTGCTGAAAGTTAAACAGGGAAAATGGAGAAGAGGTGGGAGAATACAGACAACCATCTGAAAGCACATTATTAAAAATACAATATGCATAAGACCCTAAAATCTGAACTTACTCATTTCCTTCAGGATCGTATTCATTATATGAAACTTAAAATGACCTCAGATGATGCCTGAGTGATACCAAATCTCAATGGCACAGTGGAACAGACTTCAAGGTACTTTAGTGGTCAACTTAATATCCATCCTGGAGTTGATCATGAATGAAGGGTAGACAGATGATGTAAAATTGTCTTCAAATTTCAGCAGTGGGCAATTCATTTCCATATAACAGTACATCAAGGACTACCAAAGTATGAGAAAAGTAAATGTCCTCAAGAAGGGTCAAAAAAGGAAAGGGAAAAACCTCAAAATGTATAACCCATTTCCCAAGAACACCATTTTGTACCATTTTCCCTGGAAGCGCTCAGCTCAGCTGAGAACCATAGCAAGAATCTTTCATTAGAGATCAGCAACAAATTTAAAATAAAAAGAATGACAACAGGTAAGAGTTATATACATTTTACTAGTTTGTTTCAGACCTGTCCTGGATATTTTAAAAGGTGTCAAATGAGCCCTGGATGCTGGTGGTAAGAGGCAACAGGAGAGGAGAGGCGTGGGGATGAGGAACAGGGAAGACTTGTTTACAAATTCAGAGCAAATTCCCCTCTTCTGGATCTAAAATAAAGACATCTTCTGTCTTCAGTAAAACAAGTCTTTCTGCTCGATGCAGATGGCAGGTACAGTTTGCTCAAAAGTGTTCTCTCTTGGGGAAGATGAGTACACAGTCAGCACAGGAAGCACCACTCTGGGATCGGGCCCACCCAGCAGAGCCTGCCACCATCACTGCTGCATGTTGTTGATAATCGCCAGGATGCTCATCTTCTCCTGGGCAGAGTCCACATCCTCATTCTGTTTCTGGGCCACTCCCGTGCCTAGGCCATAGAGCCGGCCACAGTACTTGGCATCATCAATACTGTCCTCAAAAAATAACTGCAGAGTAGGACAGAGAACTGCAGTGAGAATCAGTCCAGGAGTCACACCAGTCTAAACACTGCCACATCACCCCTCTCAGCTCTCTAAAAACCCTGAAAATCTAGCAAACTAGAAACTAATTTTAAAGGGCTCCACACCTTTCCTGTACATAGTCTTTTCATTCTTTCTCTAAACATAGACTGTCTCCTAAGCAAACTCAGACCTCCCAGGAATTTGCTTACCGCAGGATCCCTGTACTGTTTAGTACCCCTGCCCCTTCTCTTTCACAGGCGAGTCAGCAGTTAAGAATTTGGGCTCTGGACTCAGACTGACTCACCTTGTGACTCTGGCAATGTCATTTCAAGAATTTTTAAGCCATGGTTCTTATGTATAAAATGGGATAACAGAAATGTTACAAGGCATGAGTTATGGACATTGAGCACTTAAAGCAGGATATTTCAACAATGTCACTACAGGGCAAGATAATTCTTTATTTGGCAGTGTATCAGGATGTTTAGCAATGTTCCTGCCCAGCAACACACCATCCTCCCCCACCAAGTTATGGTGACCCAAAATGTCCCCAGACATTACTGGGATAAGCAAAATCATTCCCAGTTGAGAACCACCGACCCAAAACACTTCTGTTATGGTTTGGATCTTAAATGTTTTCCCCAAAGGCCATAATGAAGCTTGGTCACAAGCCTGTGGTACTACTGGAAGGTGGCAGAACATTTAGGAGGTGGGGCCTGGTGTGAGGAAGGAGGTCATTAGGGGTATGCCCTTAAGGGGCTATTTATTGGAACCCTGCCCCTTCCCTTCTCTCTACTTCCTAGCAGCCATGAAGTGAACAAATCTCTTCCACACATTCCCAGTCATGCTGGTCTGCCATTGGTCCAAAAACAATATTCAACCAACAATAAACTCAAACCTCTGAAAATATAAGCCAAAATAAACTTTTCATCCTTTTGATTGTCTTGGGTATTTTGTCACAGCAATCAAAAGCTAACAGAAAACTGGTGACTGTTCCCCACAATATGGCTCAGAAGTCTTTAGAACTGGTTTGCAGGAAGAAGTTGGAAAAGTGTGGAAAAGGGGGTGAGAGAAAGCCTGAATTGCTAGAGTGGAGATTAATGGGTAATTCTGGTAGGAGCCCAAATCAAAATGCTGATAGGAATGCAGACAGTAAAGGCTGTGCTAATGAGGTTTCAGAGAAATAGGACTCTTGGGAAATGGATTCAAGTCCATTTTTGTTACATTTCTGGCTAAGAAGTCTACATTTTGTTCATGCCCTGAAACTTCGTAGGAGGCTGAGTTTAAAAATGAAAGACAAGTTTATGTGGCAGAGGAAATTTCAAAAAAGCAGAGCATTCAGGCAACAGCATGGATACTGCTAGCTTCTTTTAGCCAGATTTATAGCGAAACTGGGAGCAAAAATCAGAGCAGAAAGATCTGGAAAACATGCAATTTGATCAGAAAAGAAGTCTATTTAAAGTTGGAGCAAAGAAATTAGTGCCATGAAAATCATTAAAAGGAAGCAAAGTACTTTATTCAAGGACAACAGGAAAGATGCCTTGAGGACACCTCAGGGATCATCAAGACCCCACCTAAGGCAGGCTCAAAGATTTAGGAAAAAACCCCACCACCACTATCCTTGGGTTCCCTGCTCACAGAGATATGTATAGAATTGTTTTTCTT